GGTTTACCAGACTAGGATAGTTGGCCCCGGTGCCCCTCCCCCTACTCTGAGCTCACTCTGGTACGGTCCAGATGATGGCTCTCCCGCCCACGTGTGTTGGGTTCACTGTGGTTCAGCCCTTGAGCCCCAACGGGGATGGTCCAACTCAGAGGGTGCCAGGCCTGCACTCAGGAGGTATCTTCCATTTGCTCCACGGAACTTCCGGAGAGTACAACCCGGAAGACCCCGGCCCAGCCACCTTGCCCGGCTCGGGGTGGAAGAGCCGGTCCCTGGCCTCCCCTTCGCCCGGTGGTACATCCTACCCGTCTTCCCGGCCCCCGCCGCAGCTTCTCTACCTGCAGGTGGTCTTGCCAACGCCACCCTTGCCCCCGACGAAGATCCACTTAAGGCTGCGCTGCTCGATGATGTTGCTAAGCGTGGGCTCCAGCGGCTCCACATCAGGCGCATCCTCGAACTCCTCTGCCTCAACCCCCCACCCGGCCACCCCTGCCGCCATCTTGGAACCGGCTCACGTGATCAAACGGAGCGCACCATGAAGAGCCCCCTACAAGGGAAACTCCTTATCACATGCCCATCGAGGCTAGGAATCTGAATTAATTTCCTCATGGCCTGGCTTTTAGGAGCTAATAGAAGGTATGGTTCCTATGTTCTCCGCTTCCAGGGTCCGCCTTGTCGACTTCCTGTCTATATTTTTTCAAAGACTCCCCCTGCCGAGTTAACATATTGGTACATTCCAGGCTACACCCCTCCCCTGATTGGCCACTAAGTCTCGCAGCCCTCCTTTTATTGGCTACATCTTTTCTTACTTTCACCAATCACTCTCACGTCTCGGTAGCCGCCAACCTCTCCTTAGCAACCAGCCAAACACCCGGTCCAAGCCCTTTCCGTGAAGTTAGAGCCGAGGTCCGCCATGGCCTAACTCCGTAGGCTTCACTTCCTGTCCATCATTTCCTCCCTAGTCTCCAAATTGGGTCCCGACATCGCCTCAGGTCCGTCTCCTCTGTTACCCAATTGGCTGGCTGCCACCTGGTTCCTGCCGCAAACCAATCCTAGACGAACTGATTAGCTGGTTGGAGACAGGTCCCGGGGCCGCGAGGAGGTTAGAGGGAGAAGGACTCCAGTTGTGGGCATCCTCGTCCAGTGCTCCCTGAACCCCCATGCTGGGCAGCCAGGGCAGGGACCACACCTGCAACTGCGCTCCTTGTCGTCGGAGGAACACTGTTCCCGAAAACCTCCTTGCACTGGGCTCCCTGTTCGAGGGGAGACTCCCGTTCAGCGAATTCCCTGTTTGAACCTCTGCCCTGGGCAGGAATACAAGCTGAGTCCCAGGCCCTTGGCGGACACTCAACCTTAGATGGGGATTCCAGCCTAGAAATTTCGCCGGCTTCCTTTGAGTACTCCAGCCCATAAACTAATACCCTGATTCTCAGATGAGGACCCCAGCTTCACGGAGCCAGCTGTGTCCCTACTCCCAAATGAGAGCTCCATCCCAAAGTCAGGTACCTATTCCAGAGATACTCCCATTTCTATTTGTGGGGCTCAGGCTAGATATGCCCTCTAGTTAACAGACATAGGTTCCGAGATGTCAGCTGAACACACAACCTCAGACGGGGTCCCTTCCCTCACCGAGATTATCCCTGGTGCCAGAAGGGGATTCTAGCCCCGGAAAGCTAATGCGCCCCCAGTCCCAAGCAGGAATCTCACTCCGAGAGCCAGCTACAGCCCCAGTCCCTCTCGATGGTCCCATTCCCGGGGAGACCTCGTCTGCGTAACGCCCTGCCAAACCTAGCTGGATTATTAACATCCGCGGGGCGGAGCATCCCGGAGCCAGCCAGCACCTTGGGGTCCTCCTATCCCTCGTTCGCCCCGCCCCCACTGCAGACGCTGGGGAGGGGCGGCCAGGCTACTCTTCCCGGCATGCATTGCCTGGGATGAGACAAGTCGGGCGCCAAGCGCGGGGCCCAAGCGGTCTTCCCGGAGTCCTTTGCGCGGCACCTGGCGACAAAATGGCTGCCCGAGGGAGACGGGCGGAGCCTCCGGGCCGGGAGGCGCCGGGCCCTGCGAGCGGCGGCGGCGGCGGGAGCCGATGGGCTGAGTCCGGGCCCGGGACGTCGCCCGAGAGCGGGGACGATGACGTGTCGGGCGCGGGTTCGAGCCCGGTGTCGGGCGGCGTGAACTTGTTCGCCAACGACGGCAGCTTCCTGGAACTGTTCAAGCGGAAGATGGAGGAGGAGCAGCGGCAGCGGCAGGAGGAGCCGCCCCCGGGCCCGCCGCGACCCGACCAGCCGGGCGCCGCCGCGGGCCCCGGGGATCCGAAGAGGAAGGGCGGCCCGGGCCCCACGCTCAGCTTCGTAAGGAGCCGCGGGGGTGGGGGCGGGCGCCGGGGCCTGCCTTGGCAGGGGGAGTCGGGGCCCGAGAAAGGGGATCAGGACCCAGCTCCACCCTCCGGCCCCGATGAGGGGCCCTTCTGGGTCACCCGCTGAGGATGCGGAACCTGGATTCCCAACGAGAGAGGTCTGGGGGCGGAGGTGGGGACCCCCGGAGCCTCCCCGCAAGAACCAGGAGCTGGGGGGAATTGCATTGGAAACAGCGCTCCGGGAATGGGGAAACCAGGATACCAGGATTCCTCTTTGAATGGTACCCAAACTTTGGATTTGGGGACCATCTCCCATTCTGGGGAAGGGGGGGGAAATTCAAATCTGGAGTCCGAGCTTTGTGATTAGAGACTCAGACCGCTTACTGTGTGACCTTAGGAAATTTGCATGATCTCCCTGAGTCTCATTCGTCCAGTGTCCATTTATTGAGCACCTTAGCTTGTGCTGGGCATTGTGCTAGGTACTGGCTATGCCGTGGTGAACGTGACAGACAAGGTCGCTGCCTTCGTAGAGCGTCTAGGCTGGCTCACGCGCCTTTTCCCTGTTTGCAAAAATGGACCCCATCGCATTTTCTGATGTGATGAGGGTTCAGTGAGGCCATCCTGGAAAAGTGGTTAGTACGGGGCTGTCATAGGAAGGGCTAAACCAGTGGTTCTCAGTTGGGGATGATCCCCCTCCCCCCACCTTTGGCAAAGTCTGGAGACATTTTTGGTTGTCAGAACTGGGGGAGGGGGTGCTACTGACATCTATGAGTAGAGGCCAGGGATGCTGCTCTGCATCCGACGATGCACAGAACCACCCTGCCCCTCGAACAAAAATGATGCCACTCGAAATGTCATTGATTGGAGGTTGAGAAACTCTAGGCTAAATAAATGGCACCCGTATTGACTGTCAGCTCTGAACTTGTTTTGTCTCTAATGTTCAGATCAAGTCCCTGTGGTGTGGGGGCAAAAGTGTTGACTTGAGAATTACGGACTGGGGGGGTCAAGTGTCTTCATCTGCCAAGAATGAAGCAGTCCCTTGATGCCTGGTTGAGGGCAGAGATGGTATGACACCTGGAAACCTGTTGCAGCCCTGGGGGCGCGGACGCCCTCGGTGGGTGGGAGAATATGGAGGACCAGGATTAAAGTCCAGAGTTAGGACTTGTGTCGAAGGAAGGGGAAGTGTCAGGACCTGGGATGGTGTGAGAACTAGGTGGAGGCCGAGTGCCCTTTCGCGAGTGGGAGTGGCATTCGTTGTCACTGCCCCTTTCATTTGTCCATGGAGGGGCCGTTGTGGGAGTACCCTCCAGGAGGCGAGGCCAGGCCAGGTTAGATGCAGAGGAGGGACAGTGTCGCTTGATGGGTAAGGATGCTGCTCTGTGGCGTAGACCAGCCTGACCTGAATCCAGCTTCATTGTTTGATGCCAGCATGACGAGGGTACAGGCCTCTCCCTCTCAAAGACTTTCCTCCCCTGTAAAATGGGAATGGTTGTAAGTTTCATCTTAGGGTAACTGTAAAAGTGAAAGGTGATAATCCATCCAAAGCAGTTGGCACAGGGCTTGGCATACAGTAAGTGCTCAATAAAGGGAGCTGTTACTGTCTGTGTGGTCCCTGCTAAGGGAGGGGGAGGCTTCAGCCTGGAGAGTGAGGACAGAGCCCATCCCTGCCAATGTGGGGGTTCTTCTCGCTCCCCGGGAGGGCAGCCTGGGGTCCAGGACTGCCTGGGCATCACGGGCCCAGGGCAGGCGCTAAGAGTCGCGTGTGCTCCTCTCTGATTGCTGCGCAGGTCGGCCGGCTGGCGGAGCTGGGCGCGGCGTCGGGACGGGCCACCGGGCCGGGCTAGGAAGGTGTAGTGGGCCTCAGCGCCGCCAAGCGCGGGCCCGGCTCCTGTAACCGTAGCAGTCTTCTGTCCCTTCACCCAGGTGGGCAAGCGCAGAGGCGGGAACAAACTAGCCCTCAAGACGGGAATAGTAGCCAAGAAGCAGAAGACGGAGGACGAGGTGAGCAGGCTGGGGTGGGGGCCGCCCACATTGCCTTGCCCTTCCAGCCTCGCACCTGGCTGAGGAGCCCTGTCCTTCCCTGGCCGGCCTCTGGGCCTTGGATGGGCGTCCTGGGTCGGGGAGGAGGGCTTTCAACACACTCCCAGATGATTCGACTCGGCAGATCTTTACCTCAAACCCAGGACCTCCGGGGTGACACTGGGGGTGGATCAGCTGTCTCAGGACAGTCCTGCCTGTGGTTCTGGGCCTCCCTGGCATCCCCTTCCCAACCCCCTCTGTGTCCCCCCAACCCCCACAGGTATTAACAAGTAAAGGGGACGCGTGGGCCAAGTACATGGCAGAGGTGAAAAAGTACAAAGCCCACCAGTGCGGCGATGATGATAAAACTCGGCCCCTGGTGAAATGACCCCTCCCCGCCTGCCCACGGCCTGGGACTCTCTGCGATGTACATAACTATTTAATGCGGCGGCAGCGGCGGCAGCCTCCCCCAAGGACTTATACACAGAAGGAAACCGAGATGCTTCCCGCAGCCGCGCACCGTTCTCCAGGACTCTTTTTTACCTTGAGCACTTGCCTCCTGAGACTTCATAGACCAGTGGTTTACTCTCCCCTCTCTCCCCACCTCCTCGCTCTCTCTGGCTCCTTCTGTCTTCCTCTTCTCGCCCTCCCCTCCCTCCCCTTCCTCCCCTTAGCCATCACTTCTGGGAAGTAAAGAACTTGACTTAGTGCTGGAGCTGTGTGCTGGGTCTGCCTTCTTTGCTCTCTCCAACGTAAGCCCTCCCCCGTTGGCTGCCACTGCACCCACCAAAGCCTGGGTCTGCCCCAGCGACGGGGCTGTGGGGGCATGGGGAGGACAGGGGCGCGTCCCCTTCTGTAGGCCTAGCCTCTCCTCAGGACCCATATCCCCGGACTGCACCCCCACTGTTGCTCCTCGTGTGCGGTGTCTTCACAGAGAGCTGTTCGTCTGTTCGTTGAGCAGACCCTTACTGAGCCCCTGCTGTGCTCTCTGGGCCCTGGGGCCATGGCAGCGAACAGAACAGACCACGCATGCCCCCTGTGCCCCCTTCTGCGAAGGAAACAGAAACACAAAAAGGGGAAGCCATTTTGGGAGGTGACTGCAAAGAAGTACAGGGTAGAGGCTGCTGGGAGGGTGTCTGTTTTTGTTGACATCTGATCAGAGACCTGAGGAAGGCGAAGGAGTATGTCCCAGGGTGAGGGGCCAGCCAGTGTAACGACAGGCTGGAGAGTGCCTGGCCTGGGGGCGAGCTTCGAGGAGACCCATCCAATGGAGCCGAGTGAGGGAGGAGGTGTGTGGATTACCTACAGAGCCTTGTGTGCTGGGTGAGAATGTGGGACTCCATTCTTAGCGAGAAGAAGCCTTTGAGGGGTTTTGAGCTAAGGAGCAACATAGTGTGCTTGATATCTTAACAGGATCTCCTGGCTGAAGGGAGGCTGGGGTGGAACCTGAAGGACAGAGGAGGCCCCAGCATCATCAGGGGAGGGGAGGTTATGGGCTGTTGGCAGCAGAGGAGGTGAGCAGGTCTGGGATCTGGCTTCTGGTGGGCTGCTCCACACCGGGGAAGGGCTGTCTGTCCTGCCAGCTACGTTCAGCCCTTCCAGGGAGTCTGGGGTTGTATATGTGATCAGGAGAAGGAGCACAAAGGGGCCTGTTTGTCTCACCTTGCAAACGTGATGGTTGATGTGTCAAGGGATAGGGTGTCCTAAGGAAAGTGACTCCCCTAATGTCCTTTCTCATGCGCCTTGCATTTCTGTGCCCTCCTGGCCCCACTGCTCATCCCGGTGGAGCCGGAACCTGCTGCTCTCCACCGAGCCCACAAATATTTTAAGATGTCCCTGCCTCCTGACCCCTTCTCAAACCTGCTCCACCTGGAGCAACATCTGGGCCCACCTCCCAGGACTTGTCAGGCGTGAATGCCAAGCAGCTCAGCACTCCTGGCCATCCCAGAGCCAGGCTCCCGTGTCCCCTTCAATCAGGGGAGGACCACGATGCGGAGGATCACAGCGGTCACCCCAGGGCACCTGGGACGTGTGGAGGGCTGAAGTAGCACCCACTGGGCCTCAGACTGCTGGCTCCAGTCTGTGGGTTGGGGTGGGGTGTTCCCAATACCAAGCACCCAAAGGCACAAAACTCCCTGTCCTGGGGGAGCTAACGTTCTAGTCGGGGGAGACAGACAGGAAAGGAAATAGAACAGAACACATCAGATGGTTATACATTCTATGGGGAGGAAATAAAACATGAAAGGGGGACCAAGATGACATTGGAGAGATGGTGATTTTAAATTGGTCAGGGATGGCCTCCCTGAGAAGGGGACATTTATGCCAAGTCCTGAAGGAGGTGGGACAGGCAGTGAAGATGGTCCTTGGAAGTGTTCCAGGCCGAAGGAACAGCAGGTACAAAGCCCCCACACCAAAACCGTGCCTGGCTCATCGGAGAGCGAGCAAGCAGGCTTCAGAACAGGAGACCTGCCCCTCTCACTTCCTGCCAACACACAGTAAGGCTGGGCTGGTTTATTTTCCACATCAGTTCAAAGATCTCTCCCTCCTATTTTGGGGATGCTGAGCTGGCCTAGGTGCGACTAGCCTTGGGATGTAGTGTGGGGGAGGGCACAGACAAGCCAATGGAGCCACCTCCTCCCTCTCAAAGCCTCCGGCAGCCGCTGGATCTTTAAAAAGAAACACAAGTGGGAGAAGTAGGTCACCCCTGCTGCAGCTCAGCCTCTATTTGCGACTGTTAGGCAGGAGGAGCCGATGGAGTCCAGGTGCCCCACTTCATGGCGCTCACCAGCCCTGACCTGGGGAAAGTCTGAAGCTGGAGGAGAATCAAATTCAGGTTTTGGTGAGTCACACAGCCCTGGCTTCAAACTATTCTGGTGCCTGTTAGCTGTGTGATCTTGGGTAAGTCACTTAGCCTTTCTGTGGTTCAGGTTCCTCATCTATAAAATAGGGGTGAATTACAGAAGCATCTCTAGAGTCAAGTTCTAAAGCAAGGGCAATGTTCATACAGTGAACGTTAACCCTGACATTATTTAAAACAGCTGTCATTGCTTTTCCGGGTGAAGCAGTTGGCCTGTATTTGGGGGCTGTGTTTGAGACAGGCTGACCTTTAAACGCGGGCACAGCGGGAGGAGATGCTCAGGCAGGGAGGCTGTTGTAAACTGAGAGGTGTTTGTCTCCCATCTCAGATTCACAGTTGGGCATCAGCTGCTTGAGTTTCTTTTTTGCACTGAGCGCTTCTGGTTGCATTGAAGTAAGCTTGCCCTACACAGGGCTGTTGTGAGAATTACATTTGGAAACATCCTGACAGGCAGTAGGTGCTTACGAAATACGAGGGGAAAGTCTGGATTCGGGACTCAAATCCACCAGTTGGGGAGAGGAAGAAAGACTTCCGCCATCACGCGAGGGCCCATCCAGTGGACCATTCAGGCAGCACGGGCCACTGTATTCTGCCTGACTCCCTCTCCACAGAGGGTTGCGCAGGGCCGCTGGAAACTTGACACATTAAAAGAAGGGGGTGAGCATTAACAAATAACTTTCCTGCGTCTACTCGCTCCCCACCTGACCCATACCTGGGGCAATCCCCAACCCTGAACAGAAAACTCCTACCTTTCGCAGCCCCTCCCGAAACCTCCAAGCCCAGTCCCAGCCCCTAAATCTCCTACCTTCGGCACAACGCCCACCTCCGCGGTGGGAGCGGGAGCTCCCAGACCCCCAGCTTTTGAGTCTCAGCCAGGGCCGGTAAGCGCCGCCAGGCGGCGCGCAGCAAGACGGGATTTGTAGTTCCAGGACCTCAGAGTGAGCGAGGGAAGGCTATTGCGCATGTGTAGGCGGCGACTCTTAGCACGTGTGTCTCAACCCGGGTTTGTGTCCGGCAGAGCCGACCGACGTGGAGATCTAGCTGCTCGTTTAGGGAGTCTTCGAGTGGAATGAGGTGGCAGCCGACCCTTCCCAAGCCTGGGAGGCCCCAGCGCTTGGCAAGAGTGATCTTGGGTACCTACATTTCATGAATGAACGGAACGGGGACTGACTGCCAAGGGGAAGTGGGCCGAGGAACCTGTCGCCCTCCTCCAGCTGGGGCAAATATTGACCTTGTGCCTCTCCCGAAGCCAAAATGTCCCTTACGGCACGGCTAGGTAGTCCTTTAGGATTAGAGCCGTAGTTGATTCAGTAAATTGGTTTAGGGTAGGGCTGAATGCAGTGAAAGGACAGCTTTGAGCCTAGTGGGGTAAAAGCCACATTTTTGAAGAACAATTTACGGCATGCCTGGTAATGCTTAACTTGGATTATCTCTAACCCAACAACCTATTCTTAGGCCCATTTGACAAATGGGGGAAACTAAGACTCCCAGTGGCAAGAGATCGCCCACCTTGTTATCAGTAGGGTGAGGAGGGGAAACCGGGACGCTCCAGGGTCTCCAGCTTCTGTCTACTCTGCTCTGTTCTTACAAGCAAGAAGACAAGAGGTGTCCTACTTTGTCCTCAGGTGGCGCAAGGATCACGAAGATGTTTTTCCCTGCCCTTGCCTAAATTTCCTGGATTGTTCCACCTCATTCAGGTTCAGGTAGGGAAAGAAATTAGGACTTCTGCTCCAGCATTTATTTTATTAGTTCATTTCGTTTAAAATGTTATATTCTTGGCCCCCTCCCATCCTCGTAAAAATTGTCAAAGAGTACTGGAAAATAACGCAAAGTGTAGCAAATGTTTCTGTAGGAACCCAGTCTGTCTCAGGCACTCCCTTTGTCTGGCTTTTCTTTCTTTCTCTCTGGGATATAAAGTCCACGCCAGGCTCAGTCCCTCCGCTCTTTCCTTGCGCGCGCAGACTGTACTCCTCCCAATACCTTCTGGATGGGGGAAAGAAGCACAGTTCAGTTCTTACAGGAGGGGGGTGACAAAGGCGCAGGTGGCTCTGGCCGAGGCATTCGCAAGTCCACCACACCGAAAGTCCCCACTCGCCACCAAACTCAGCTCCCAGCGCAGAGCTGCCGTCAGGCGGGCTCGAGAGACGCTGAGAAAACGAGACGGTGGGAGGACCGGCCGGCCAGAAAGGCCAAAAGAACCTCCACCTCTTCGGTCACGTGACCCGGCCTCGGCGGGGCCTGGGTTTCCCCGGAGCCAGGCCACGTGCGACGTCTGCTCCTTGTGATTGGCTCGTCTGGGCCAGTTTGAACGACGTACGGAAGCCGCGGCGGCTCATCTACGGCCGCGTTTTTTTTATTCCCTCTCTTTGCCTCCCTCCTTCCGCGCGAGTCTCAGGAGAAGCCGCAGCGCAAGGCGCCGCTGCTTCCGCCCGGGGCCCGGTAAGTGGGCCTCACCCCGAGGCCGACCGGCTCTGCTCCGGCTTGCGTCGAGCCCTGTCGGGCTCCGGGCTTGCGCTGCGCGCGGCCCGGGCATCGGGGCCGCGCCTGACCGGGAAAGGCCGGGAACCCAGTTGGGCCCGATTCGCTAGGCAGCGAGAACGGGCCGGGGCGGGGGAGGGGGGAACCGAGCCAGGCCTAGGGGGTGGGGCCTCGGAGCCGGGCCAGGTCCCAGTGCCGGGAGAATCGGGCCAGTGGGGCGGCTGGGGTCGGGTTGGAGGAGATCTGATTGGGGGAAGCGTTTGGGGACTGCTTAGGGCCTGATTGGGGCACGTCGCGAGGATCGGGTGTGTGTGTGTGGGGCTGTTTCGGCGGGGCTTGGTTGGGTCTGATTGGGGGAGGCCGCACGGAAAAGTTGGGGGGGCTTCTTGGGCCCTGATAGGGAGGGGCGTCATACTTCGGCCTAGAGGGCTTTGCTGGGTCTGGCTGCGAGGCGTCGCTGGGATCCGTTGGGGGGAATGCTCCGAGGGGTGTTCGGCCAGGCCTAATCGGGGGAAGCTGCAGGGATGGACCAAGGGGGTTTCCGGCTCTAGGCGGTGGAGGGCTTGGCCGAACTTGGTTGGGGGAAGCAGCTGAGATCCATCAGCAGCAGTTACTGCTGCCTTGGGGGACGGGGCCGGGGGGTGGGTGGGTCGGGGGGAGGGCTTGGCCGCATCTGATTGGGGAAAGTGACAGGGACGGCCCAAGGGGCTTCTGTCACGGTGTGGGCGGGCTTGGCTCGCTTTCATTCTCTGAGAGGCACTGGGGACCTGTTTGGGGATTGCTTCGCGCCCGATTAGGAGGACTCTCTGGACGGGGTCCTGCTAGGCCAGAAAGCGGGGCGTCTGGCATCCGGTTGAACTCGGAGGGCCGGATTATGGGACGCGGCAGGGATCAGGACAATCGGAGCACCTTGGGACGGTGCACCTGGGGAGGCTCAGGGACTGCTCAGGGGCAGAGGAGGTGGCTGGGATCTGGCGGAGCTCGAGGGCTGGATTTTGGGAGGAGAAGCGGGGGTCTTTGGGGACCACGCCTGCATGGGGCCGGGGCGCTATCACAGTCTGGGGCAGGGTCCCTAGACGGGGAGGTGGCTGCTGCGAGGGAGACAGAAGCGTTAGGGCCCACAGCCCGGGTAGCAGCACGGGCTGCCGTGGGACGAAGGCTCCGCGCTGGGCCGGATGAGGATCCGCCGGCCCTGCCACCTCCTCCCATAGCCCGCTTCCACATCCCCCGCCTGCGCGGCCGTGGATGGTGGGCGCGGCTGGCTGCGACCCCGCGCTTGGGCTACTGTGGATGGGCGGACTTGTCTGCCGGGTGTACTCCAGTCGTGCTGCCTCCGAGGGGCCTCAGCCTCTGTCTCACACGGAGCCCCGGGGACCCAGGGCTGACCCTGGCCCCTGCCCCCACAGCTCGCCTTGCGCCATGGACTGGCAGCCAGATGAGCAGGGCCTGCAGCAGGTCCTGCAGCTGCTCAAAGACTCTCAGTCGCCCAACACAGCCACGCAGCGCATCGTGCAGGATGTATCCTTCCTTCCTTCCTTCCGGGCCTGGGGGAACCTGGCAGACATCTGCAGCCCCTAAAGGCCAGAGAGGAAGGGGCCGCCTCCCGGATCCCCAGACTCTTTCTCCTGTGGGGAGGAGCTAGCCTTGGCTGAGAATGAAGGATTAGAATTCTTGGGTCCCATTCCCAGAGGAAATGTGGTCCTGGGGGCCGGGGTGGGGGGAGGTGCAGGGCTGGAGGAGGACACCTTTTGCTGGCTCTCAGTTTTTGTTTAGGTTCATGGTTAAAATTTCTTTTTTAATTGGTTTAAAATACTATGTTAGACTTTTAAAATGTTTAACCATTAGTAAGTTTTGCTTGAAAATGTGGATTTCCTTCTTTTTGAGAAAAGCAGGCAACATTGAACTGCTGGTGAGCGCCTGAGTGGCAACAGCTGCCTTCAGACGGAGCGGGGGGGCTGCCAGCCCTCTCCTGCTCTGGCCAGGGCTGCAGGACTGGGCCGAAAGCTCAGGCGTGCTCCCGCAGCCCCCTGCATGGATTTGATGGGGCTGAAGTGCTGTGTTTGGGGCACGGGGGTTGACAGGTGGGGTCAGGAGCTGGCTGCATGGTCCCAGTGGTCAGAGGTACCATCAGCTATGTGACAGTAAGGGGGCCCTGCCTGGGGAAGGCCCCTCTCTCCCAAGTCCCTTAACAACCGGCAGAAACTCAAACAACTGAACCAGTTTCCCGACTTCAACAACTACCTGATCTTCGTTCTGACCAGACTCAAGTCGGAAGGTACGCCTTCGGGGCCCCTCCACGCAGGCTGGACCCTGCCTTCTCCCCCGTGGTCCCTTGAGCCTCAGTCCTCTTTCCCCAGATGAGCCAACTCGCTCTCTCAGTGGCCTCATCCTCAAGAACAACGTGAAGGCGCATTACCAGAGCTTTCCACCGCCTGTGGCTGACTTCATCAAGCAAGAGTGTCTCAACAACATCGGGGACGCCTCCTCGCTCATCCGAGCCACCATAGGTGAGGGGGCAGTAGGGGTCAGCCTGTGATGACCAGAAGCTTCTGAGCACGTTAAGGGGGTTGACTCACTGAATGCTCCAGCACTGTGGACGGTGGTACTATTACTGTGGCCGTTTCACAGATGAGGAAACTGAGGCACAGGGATGTTAGGGGGCTTGCCTGGTGAGGAGGAACTCGGAAGCGAGCAGCGCAGGCCCACGCTCTGGACCGCTCCCTCCTGAAACAGCCGCGCTTCCTTCTGAGGCAGTCACTCAACGTGCAGAATTTGGTGTTAGGTCGGGGCTCCCTGCCCTCGTGGAGCTCAGTGTCATTAGCCAGCTCTCACCCATGACTATTTAGGTGAAGCGTGAGCCAGGTGGCATTGGAGCGTCCTGACTCCTGGGAGGCTGCCTGGGGAAGGACCAAGAATTTTCTAGCAATTTTCCCTTAAGCTTTTCACTACTGATAAATACCGATGCTACTCTGTATTACCAGCTTGATTTTATTCCCAGCTGTCTTGAGATATAACGGACACGTAACTGACTTATACTCTTTTAATTTAAATTTATGTCAACTTTTAAAAGGTGCTGTTGAAAGAGTGTGGTACATAACTTGTAAATGAAGAGATATTTGCTTGTCCTAAAGGGCAGGTAACCTTAAAAACAAATGCAGTAAAGACAGAAAAAATAGTCTTAAATTTGAAGTAGATGGGGGGCCTGCCAGAAGGGCTGGTCTTGGGGCCTGCCGCCTCTGTTAAAAGTGACCCTTAGCCTGGACAGCCCCCACTTTGAGGCTAGCAGAAGGACCTGGATGTAAAGCTTATTCTAGGGCCAGGTTCTGCTCCAAGTACTTAAGTCGTTGACGCTTCCTGGTAGTCCTAGGACGTTGTGTTCTTTATCTCCGTTGAGGCACAGAGAGGTTGGGTGATGTGGCCCAGGTCATACAAGGACGGGCCTAAGGCTGCACTCAGTCTACCTGATCAGGGAGCTGGGGTCATCTGGAGTGTGGGCAGTGGCAGCTTCCCCTCTGGGAAACACTGCCATCTCCTGGCTTTAGTTACCATCTGCACTGACATCATGAGTTCAGTCAGCCGCCAGACCGCTCCACTGCCCTCTCACTTTAGAAGCCTCCTGCAGGTCGCACTTGGGTTTCTAATACGCAGTACAGGGCTTCCCCAAGGCCACGTGGCCCTGCACGACCTGCCCCGCTCCCGACCCAGCCGTCACCTCCTCTCGCTCTCTCCGTCAGCCCCACTTACTCCTCACCCATCTGTGAGCACACCAGGCCTCCTGCTGCCAGCCCTTTGCACCTGCCCTTCCTTCTGTCTTGGCTGCTCCTTGCCCAGGGACCTGGACGGCTTCTCCCTCACCTGCAGGTCTTTGCTCAGATATCAAGATGGCACCTGGCTGAAGCCTGCTCTGGACACCCAGTTTAAAATGGCTGCCTTCACCCTCAGCCCTTGCCGGCCACCTTCTCTGCTTTGTTTCCCCACTTAGCTCTTGGTGTCTCACTTCCCAGGTCTTTGCTGCTTTCTCTTTACCTCACCAGACGGTCAGATCCCAGGGGCGGGGATTTGGTGTTTAGTGCTGGGCTGCCTCAGAGCCGGGAGCGGAGCTGGCTCACAGTGAGGCTCGGAGCATCTCAAAGGGGCGTGTGGTGCTTCTGGGGGCGGTGAGGGCCGGGCTGCCGAGCGGGCCCGCACCCCGCCTGAGGCAGCGTCCTTTCCCGGCCGCCCCAGGCATTCTCATCACCACCATCGCTTCCAAGGGCGAGCTGCAGATGTGGCCCGAGCTGCTGCCCCAGCTGTGCAACCTGCTCAACTCAGAGGATTACAACACTTGCGAGGTAGGCAACAAGCCGTGGCCCCCGAGCGGGCATGGGCGCGGGAGCCTGACCGGGACCCACGCCCGTCTGGCCGCCCCCCTCCACTCAGGGAGCCTTCGGAGCCCTGCAGAAGATCTGCGAAGACTCTTCTGAGCTTCTGGACAGCGACGCCCTCAACAGGCCCCTCAACGTCATGATCCCCAAGTTCCTCCAGTTCTTCAAGCACTGCAGCCCCAAGATCCGGTGGGTGTAGCCCCGGGGTCTGCGGGTCCTGGGCAGGCAGGCTCGAGGCTGACCGTGTGCTCGCCCCCTGGCAGGTCCCACGCCATCGCCTGCGTGAACCAGTTCATCATGGACCGGGCCCAGGCGCTGATGGACAACATCGACACCTTCATCGAGGTGGGCTGCCGGGCTGGGGGTGAGCAGGCCGAGGGCTGAGGGCCCCGCCACAGCTGACCCCGCCTGCCCCGCAGCACCTGTTCGCCCTGGCCGTGGACGACGACCCCGAGGTGCGGAAGAATGTGTGCCGCGCTCTGGTGATGCTGCTGGAAGTGCGAATCGACAGGCTTATCCCCCACATGCACAGCATCATCCAGGTGTGCATGGCCTAGGCCAGTGCCATGGGGTGGGAGGCAGTGGGGGAGCCCCCACCACCAGCCGGCCGGGCCTCACACCTTCTCCCACCTGCCCCAGTATATGCTGCAGAGGACCCAGGACCACGATGAGAACGTGGCCCTTGAGGCCTGCGAGTTCTGGCTGACACTGGCCGAGCAGCCCATCTGCAAGGAAGTCCTGGCCTCCCACCTGGTCCAGTGAGTGCTGCTCCTGCCCTCCGTCCCACCCGAGCCTCAGTTCATGTCTTCTGTCTCAGTTTACCTTCTATCCCTGCAGACATTAGTATTGAAAGTGATAAGAATGTAGCTTTTAATGACTTAAAAATTAGGTAAATTATAGGTAGAAAAAATGAAATGTCAACAAAAGCTTCAGGTATAGCTGGATCCAGGTGCTCAAAGGATGTGAAAGATATCTATCTAGTCTCACATCTACTTCATCTGTGCCAGCTTCGTTCTCAGGCATGACCTTCCCTCGTGGTAGTGTTGTGGCCTTGTGCAACCTTCCAGCTTAGGAACCTCAGAGTAAAGAGTTTCTCTCTTGACCAGTTTTTCCAGCAAAAGTCCTAGGGCTGACCTTCCTTGACCAACAGGGATCACTCACCTGTCCCCAAGTCAGTGGAGGTGTAATCACAGTTTCCAGTCCCGAGGTGCATGGGCTCCGGCTGAGGGGGCTGGCTGCCCTGCCTCCTGTTTGCTCCCCTAACCTGGCCCCATCCCATGGAAGTGCCTGATGGTAGGGTCCCATCTCCCTGCCTTGTGGGGTGCTAGGGGTCTGGCATTGTTCTCAGCTTTTCAGTGTATTCAGGGATCTGGAATTCACTGAGGGGCCAAGTGTGGGTCAGGAGCCCTCCTGTGGAGCCAGGAGTCGTGTCACCTCTGTCCCAGTCACGGGCTGAGACTAGGCTGGCTTGGCACCCCCTGCGGGAAGTGAATGGACACGGAGAAGCAGAATCAGCAGGCTTGGGACAGGCGGCCCCTTGGCCCTTCTGCTTTCCTCTTCCCGGGGCTGTCAGCCTCCCTGGGGCCCTGCAGCCCGATGAACAGCTTCTCTCCCGGCAGGTTGATCCCCATCCTGGTGAACGGGATGAAGTACTCGGAAATTGACATCATCCTGCTCAAGGTCGGTCAGGCCAACTGCTGGGTGTGGGCCAGCGGGCGAGGCGTAGGCCTGGGGGCCCTGGGGGTACTTAGTGCTGTGCCTGGCCCCACAGGGGGACGTGGAGGAGGATGAGGCGGTCCCCGACAGCGAGCAGGACATCAAGCCACGCTTCCACAAGTCACGCACGGTCACGCTGCCCCATGAGGCCGAGCGGCCTGACGGCTCCGAGGACGCAGAGGATGATGATGATGACGATGCTTTGTCCGACTGGAATCTGAGTGCGTGGCCTGGCCTGGGGCAAGGGGGGATCGTGGGGGGCAAGCCCTGGGCTGTCTCTCGAGAGGTGATTGGAAGCCTCCGCAGAGCAGATCGTGCAGATTCTGATCATGATCTCTGACCCTGGGGGTACAGGCGGCGAGGGCCTGCGGCGTGCCCGATGGGCCTCCCTGAGCCTACCCCACAGTTTCTCCTCCCACCCCAGGGAAGTGCTCGGCGGCTGCGCTGGACGTCCTGGCCAACGTCTTCCGGGAGGAGCTGCTGCCCCACCTCCTCCCCCTCCTCAAGGGCCTCCTCTTCCACCCTGAGTGGGTGGTCAAGGAGTCAGGCATCCTGGTGCTGGGTGCCATCGCTGAGGGTGAGTCCTGCCCGCCCGGCTTCGCCTGACCTCTGAGCCCCGTGCTGGCTCAGACTGTCTGGGGCTGGCCCACGCAGGGCTGTGTCTGGGGTGAGCTCTCCAGAGGCCTGCTCACCCCCCTCCAGACAGCTCCGGGATTTGAATCTTCCCCTCAGCCTGTGGGCCTGAAAGGAACCCCAGCCCCACAAATGCAGGCTCTCCCCAATCCTCACGGGCCGGCAGTTTCGTGAGGTTGGGAGCATCATTACAGCAACCCGACATCAAGGGACTTCTGCAGGGTTTGCCCTGCGGCAGGCAGCCGGGGGCCACCGGCTCACCACCCCAGTGAGCTGGGTGTTCTAGATGGGGATACAGAGGAGCAGAGAGATTGATGCCACTTCCCTGGGCGGTCTGGGTGCAGCTGGCCGCCAGGCTGCCTGCAGAACGACAAGGGTGCAGCGGTGCTGTTTCCTCCACTTCTGCTCAGAGTGCTCTTAGTGGCGTGTTCCTCCGGCTCCCTTTGTCCCAACAGGGTGAACAGCTGAATTCCCAGACTGCTCTGTGCATCTGTTGCAGGCATCCCTGGTGACTGCCTTGGCCTCCAGGCCTGTCAGAAACAGGCCACAACTCGGCGGGGACACCTTTCCCCGAGAGCTTTTTTTTTTTTTTTTTGAGGAAGATTAGCCCTGAGCTAACTACTGCCAATCCTCCTCTTTTTTGCTGAGGAAGACTGGCCCTGAGCTCACATCCATGCCCATCTTCCTCTCCTTTATACCTGGGATGCCTACCGCAGCATGGCTTTTGCCACGCAGTGCCATGTCCGCACCCAGGATCCGAACTGGCGAACCCCGGGCCGCCGAGAAACAGAACGTGTGAACTTAACCACTACGCCACGGGGCCAGCCCCAGCCTGGGAGCTTTTAAAGCTTGTCATAAAGGTTTCCTTGTATGCTAAGTGTAACGTAGCTTATGTTAATATGTGTATATGTATTAACAGACTACATTTTGTCTTCTGTGTGTTAATGGGAACAGATCTAGAAGAACTGACCCGAAACCAGTAAAAATAGGTCTCGTGTCGTGGATTATTAGGGGTGTGCTATTAGCTGAGATCTCTGATTAACAGAGAGATGCGTTCATGGTTTTTTAAAAAAAGAAGAAAAATAGAAAAAGAAAAATCACAAACATCAAGAAAGTTTTCAAAGGAAGAAACTCCGTCCATCTGGGTCACTGCTGCCCACAAAGCCTGAGTCACTGTGCAGCCCAGCTGTCGGTGCATTCACGGGTCACCAGGACGGGCTGGGGCCACTGGAGGGGACAGGCTCGCTCTGAGCTGTCTTCCGTCCTGACCCTGCCTTTACCTGCTCTGTGACGCTGGGCCACTTATTTAACCTCCGAGCCTCAGTTTCTCCGCCTCTCCCCAGAAGGGTGGGTGTGGCCCGGCCCAGCTGGGCTCAGCCTCACCCCTGTCCCTGTCCTTGCAGGCTGCATGCAGGGCATGGTGCCCTACCTGCCTGAGCTGATCCCGCACCTCATCCAGTGCCTGTCGGACAAGAAGGCCCTGGTCCGCTCCATCGCCTGCTGGACGCTGAGCCGCTATGCCCACTGGGTGGTCAGCCAGCCGCCTGATATGCACCTTAAGCCCCTGATGACGGAGCTGCTCAAGCGCATCCTGGATGGCAACAAGAGGGTGCAGGAGGCGGCCTGCAGGTGACCTTCTGCCCCTGGTCCCACAGCCCCTACCCCTGCCCCTCCGGGAAGTGATGATATGCATGACCCCTGACATCAAGCTGATTTCTCGCGTATTCGTACTGGCTGATCCCAAGCACGCCCTCCCCATCCCGCCCGTGGTTCTGCCCCGCTTGCAGCCACCCCCTGAGCCCTCCTCTCCTCCAGCGCCTTCGCCACCCTGGAGGAGGAGGCCTGCACGGAGCTGGTGCCATACCTTAGCTACATCCTCGATACCCTCGTCTTCGCCTTCGGCAAGTACCAGCACAAGAACCTGCTGATCCTCTACGATGCCATCGGCACTCTGGCCGACTCTGTGGGCCACCACCTCAACCAGCCGGTGAGACCCCACAGCGGCTCCTTCTTCCCGATCCCGGGCCCCTCGGCATCCGGTGACCTGGCGGCGACCCCGTGTCACATGCCAGGGACGTGGCCGTGACCTCAACAGGCAGACAGACAGACCCAGCCCCTGCCCTCGCCCTGCTCCCAGTCTAGTGGGGGAGACAGACAGTTATGAGACAGCGTGGTAAGTGCTGTGCCGGGGCAGCTCAGGGGCCTGCGGGGAACCAGGGGGTGCCGACCCGGGCTCCGAGGTGGGAGGGAGGGCAGGCCCCAGGACGGCTGAGAAGGGCCTGGATGTCTGGCTGGATGGCGAGGCCTTGCAGGGGCCCCATGAGCCACAACGAGGAACCCAGACCTCATGGCTCAGGTGATGGGCGCCTCTGAATCCCAGGGAGCCCTGCTGATTCCCAGGTTGCCACCCCAAGCCAGGGAGCCCCAACTTCCCCTCCCCCTCCAGGAGTACATCCAGAAGCTGATGCCTCCACTGATCCAGAAGTGGAATGAGCTCAAGGACGAAGACAAGGACCTCTTCCCTCTGCTGGAGGTGAGCGGCTCCAGGCCCTCCCCCGCGGCCACAGGCCCTCCCCCACGGCCCCGCCCACCTGAGCTCACCCCCTGCCTTCTCCCTGCCAGTGCCTGTCCTCAGTGGCCACCGCCCTGCAGAGCGGCTTCCTGCCCTACTGCGAGCCTGTCTACCAGCGCTGTGTCACCCTGGTGCAGAAGACGTTGGCCCAGGCCATGGTGAGCGCCCCCCCAATGCCCCCGCCTGCTCTTCTGTTGTTGCCCCAGCGCGGCCCTGTCCCCTCACCCGCCAGCCTGCCCCAACTGTGCCCAGATGTACACCCAGCACCCCGAGCAGTACGAGGCACCCGACAAGGACTTCATGATTGTGGCGCTGGACCTGCTCAGTGGCCTGGCCGAGGGCCTGGGTGGCCACGTGGAACAGCTGGTGGCCCGCAGCAACATCATGACCCTGCTCTTCCAGTGCATGCAGGTGGGTGCACGCCCCTCCCAGGCCTCTCACTGGACAGCGAGACACCCAGCAGCCTGTGTGGGCCGCGCTGGGGGCACTTGGGGCCTTGGTTGTGCCCAAAGGACATCAGGGAAAAGGGGTCCGTAAAAACAGAAAAGAGTGTAATTGTTTAAAAAGCTATTTCAATGAGACACAAGTGAAACCTCATTGAAAAAGCAAACTGTAGAAAATGAGGAAGTAGAAACAGGAAATGTGAATGTACAAGCTCCCGCAGCGTCCCCCCCCAGTGTATGTGGACTGGCCGCTGTCCCCCCAGCAGGGGAACCCTGAGCCAGGCTCTCATTCACACGTCCTGAGTGCAGGATGCACAGTGCGGCCTGCATCCTGGGCGCTGGCAAGTGGCAGGGTCAGGCCGGGCCCTGGGGACTGTTGGCTAGCTGCCTGTGGCTGGTGTGGGGAGGGGAGCCTTGCCCCGCTGACCCTGCTGTGACCCCCAGGACTCAATGCCCGAGGTCCGGCAGAGCTCCTTCGCCCTCCTGGGAGACCTCACCAAAGCCTGCTTCATCCATGTCAAGCCCTGTATCGGTATGACACCTGTTTTTTCCCCACCCCACCACCCCACCCTGGGCCTCAGGTGATGGAGAAGTGACCGGGGAAGACTGTGACCGAAGTGGGATGTATTCGTACTGGCTGATGGGGCCCGCATGGCCAGGTCTGGGAGCTCACCCTGGCCGGCCCCCTGCTCAGCACCCCTTTCTCCCCATCAGCTGAGTTCATGCCCATCCTGGGCACCAACCTGAACCCCGAGTTCATCTCTGTCTGCAACAATGCCACCTGGGCCATCGGCGAGATCTGCATGCAGATGGGTGAGTGCCTGCAAGTGGGCCAGCCCTGCCTCTCCCTATTGGCCTGATCCTGGCCTGGGGGCGGGAGCCCAGCTTGACTGACAGGTCCCCTCAAGCGGGCCCTGGCTCTCCTTGAAGAAGGTGGCCATTGGTCAGGGGCAAAAGGACACCTCTGAGTGGTGTCATCAGAGATGGGGCCTGAGCCTGAAAGACCGTCTGTGGTTGGCTTCTGCAAAGAGGCAGGACAGGAGGCCTGTTCTGACTGGACTGTCTGCCACCTCCCCGTGCCCAAGGCCATTGGCTGAAAGGCCCACTGGGACTGGTGGGGAGACTGGCGCTGCTCCACCCCCCTTGGTGGTGTGGTCTTATCCTGGTGCCCAGGGTGCCTGGGGAAGTGTTGGGTGTGGGGGGAGCCTGTGTGGCGGCACAGGCCCCGGGTGGGGGCAGGGGGAGGGGTATCGTTCCTTCACTGGCTGTCGTTAGCTAGTGTCTGGATGCAGCTGCGGTCAGCATGGCTGGCGTGGGTCATATGGGCTCTGACTGGCTGGTCCCCCAGGGGCAGAGATGCAGCCCTACGTGCAGATGGTCCTCAACAACCTGGTGGAGATCATTAACCGGCCTAACACACCCAAGACGCTGCTGGAAAACACAGGTGTGCGCTAGGCCTGGGCCACTGCCGCCCCCCTTGCCTGCCTCCTGGAGTTGGGGTTTCCGTCTGGGAGGGTTAGTTAGAAGAGGCCTTGGGAAAGAACCGGGGAGGGTATCTGGAGGGACTGGGAAGGTGGTCCTGGGAGAGACCCAAGTACGGTGGGGAGGAGACTCTGGCTGGACTAGGCTTGCCCAGGCAGCCAGCAGGAGCTATTCCCTTGGGGCCTGTGGGGCGGAGTGGGGCTGGTGCCTCCTGCCAGAGGCCCCGCCACGTACCGGGGGCCGCTCGGGGTTGCAGGTCGCCTGACGAGTCCCTCTGCCATTCCAGCCATCACCATCGGCCGCCTGGGCTACGTGTGCCCGCAGGAGGTGGCGCCCATGCTGCAGCAGTTCATCCGGCCCTGGTGTGTGCCCCCCCGTGTGAGGCCTGCCTGACGGTGGGCGGGCTGGTGGGGTGTCTGGGGCAGGCCCGATCCGTCCCTCGCCTGTGCCAGCCCATGGCTGCATGTCCCAGCCCCACTGCCCGCTGATCCCTGCTGCCCCTGTCCCCTCGATACGTGGCCCATCCAGCCCCCTGCCCACAACACAGATGCCCAGCCTGCCCCATCCCGCCTGCTGACTCCCCGCCGCTCACCTTCCACACAGGTGCACGTCGCTCAGGAACATCCGGGACAACGAGGAGAAGGACTCGGCCTTCCGCGGCATCTGCATGATGATAGGCGTCAACCCCGGGGGTGTCGTGCAGGTGGGCGCTGGGCGCAGAGGGTGGGCCCTGGGCTGGGCTGGGCGGCCCCTCACACGCCCTGTCCTGTCTGTTTCAGGACTTTATTTTCTTCTGCGACGCTGTAGCCTCCTGGGTGAGCCCGAAGGACGACCTCCGGGACATGTTTTATAAGGTGAGGCTCCCCTGGCCCTGCCAGGGTCCTGGGAGGCGGTGGGGCGCCCCTCACCCCCTGCCTCCCCGCAGATCCTCCATGGCTTCAAAGACCAAGTCGGGGAGGAGAACTGGCAGCAGTTCTCGGAGCAGTTCCCGCCGCTGCTCAAGGAGAGGCTGGCTGCCTTCTACGGGGTCTAGACGAGCATCGTGACAGCCAGGTAAGGAGGCGGCTTGCGGAGGGGGTGGGGGGGGGTGGCACTGTCATGGGGGCCACAGGGGCACGTGCCCTGACCGCCCCCTCTCCCGCAGGTCTCTGTCTGCGTCATCATCGCAGGGGTTGCTGGGGAGCGCGCTGCGTCCAGAAGTCGCCGTGCCCTGGTCGAGGGGGGTTAGGGAGGAGTGAGTGGGACCCAAATCCAGATGCCTTCCCCGTCCATCTACCTGTGGGGCCGGCGGCGGGCGGGCAGGTGGGTGGGGCCTCCACGCTCATCCTACAAACGGGGGGGTGGGGTGGGACTTCTTGGCGGCAAGGGCCCCTTTGCTCAATCGGGGTCACCTCCGGTGGCCCACTTGGGCCGGCCACGTGGGAGGGAAGAATCAACACGGCCGACGGGATCCGGCTTAGGATGAGGCGAGGGGAAAGCAGGCAGGGAGGGGGGTCCTTGTAGAGACACGTACACTCACACGTACACACGTGGCCACGCGCATGTGCGGTGCTGCAGCCAGCCAGGCTGGGCCAGCCGCCCACCATTTCCCCGACTGCATGGAGACAGTAGAATTAGTGAACCCCTGAGTTAACCCGTAAGGCCTTCCGTGTAACCTGCATCTAGAGTTTAAGAAGCTTCTGCTGTTTTGCCGGAATTGGCGGTGATCGGGGAGGGCTGGGGGGGTTGGGGGCCTCCGCGGGGACCCTGGGCGGGGGGAAGAGGATGGCCACCTTGGGGCCACCCCGTCAGCACGCGCACACTTCGGACCTGCTCCGCACACTTCCTGCCGGCTCTGAGGCAGCCTCGGCCAGTGTGTCCCCCTCCTTGTCTTGTCCCAGCCAGAAGACTGGGGACCACCAGAGCAGCTGGGGCTGGCCAGAAGTTGTCCTTTCTCCTTGCCCTGGGCCCCAGCGACTTGAAGATGCTGGGCTGGGATTTTTTTCCCCCAAAGAGAGCTGGGGGCGGCCACAGCTGCTGCCGCCTGCCCCCCGCATCTCTCCATAAACAAGCCCGTGTCAAGGACAGTCCATTTCTCCGTGCTCGCAAGAGCCCTCTTCCCAAGTTCTAGGCCTGAGTTTTAAGACAAGGGCTGCGGCCGGGGCATTTAATCGATGGTGACAGAGGATGAAGGTTTATGTTTTGCCAGCAAGAAGGAAGCTCCGGGCCTGGAAGAGGGGAAAGGTGACGGACCCCCTGACCCCAGTCTGTGGCCCTCGGGCTTCCCGCTCATCCCAGCACCCAGTGGGCCCCGAAACCCACCAGATTGGGGCATGATTCTAGGGTACCTTCTGAGATTGGCTGGGGATGTGGTCACCGTGGGAGGGTTCCCCTGGAGAGGGAGGGAGCGTGGTTATTTGCAAGTTGGCCTTGAAACTGAAACCGGGCCCTGCAGCCCCCTTAATGTTGTTTTCCTTTTTCTCTTCTCCCACTTTCTACTTCTTTGGGGGTGCCTGTTGGGGTTTTGGGGGGCTTTGACTAGATTCCTGCATCCTGGGGCCTGCTCCATCCATCCGTCCGGGGCCCTGGACCCCACCCCCATCACATCCCTGTGTCTTCTTTCTGACAGGGTCAGGCCCTGCCTCTATTCCGAGGGGCACTTGGTGCACATTCCATAAACTCAGCTGGTCGTGTCCCCTCTCCCCCATATGAAACTCCAGCAGGTCTCTGGAAGCCATTTGTAAAAAAAAAAAAAAAAGGAAAAAAAAAGAAAAAGGAAAAAAAGTTTTTTTTTAAAAAAAAAACATTTAATTTTCTGGTAATTCCAGTTCCTTGGAGCACCCTCTCTCTGCTGGGTCTTGGGGTGTGTGGATGGATTGGCTGATGGGATTGGTAACCCCTTCTCCACCCAGGATGGGGGCTCCAATCACCTTCAGGGAAGGGGAGCCTGGTTCTAGTTTTCTTTCTTTCCTTTTTTTTTTTTTAAGAAAACTATTTAATTTTTTAATTTATTTTTGGTTGATTTTTGCACAACGAAGTTTCAGCTTCTCAACCTTCTCCTCTGCCCAGGGCTGCGGACCCTGACTGGCCTCGATCTGCAGCCCCCCTCATGCCGATGTCCCTCCTTCCCCCTCCTCCTCTTCCTCCTGCGGGCTCCAGGGTCTGTCCATTTGTTACTGTGCTGTGCTGGGGATTGGCGCCGAGGTGGCGTGAGATTCCACTTGTGTAGAACTTTGTTGAGTAAAGATCAGTTTCTTGTGAAACCCTTGGTCTCCATCTGGTCTCCCTTGTCCTTGGCTTTGGCAGCAGAGAAGCGATATGGAGGGGAGCCTGGGAAGCTTTTGAAATGGGGATGCACAGAACTCAGGAAATAATAGGGGGACTGGGAAGGTATGCAGTAAGCACTAACCAGGTACACTTCTTGGGATCCCAAGCGTCTGTTTTCTTCCCTGTAAAGTGGGAAAGTGAGTGTGAAAGATGAAGATTAAATGTGATAACACACGTGCAGTGCGTTTTCTGGGACATGATTAGAGTTCAGTAAAGGAATCATTAGCGTTGTGGCCCAGGTCCCTGTCTGCCACAGACTAAACTGAGTGGTAAGGCCTTACGGCCTCTCATCTTTGGCTGACTTTACAACTCCGGATCGCTGGGCAGTTTAGATTTTTCCTAGAAGGCTCAGCCCAGCACCAGGCCTGTGGGAAATATGTAAATATGTTTACGGAAGCAAATGAGAAGTTGCTCAGCCCTGGGGACACAAGCCTCAGGATTAAATCTTGTTGCAACCTCTGCATTCCAAGGATCACCTGTGTCAAGCTGGGAACACTAAAAATGCAGACACGCGTCCAGCATTCCTTCAACCAAGATGTGCATTTCAGTGAGAGGGAACAGAAGCGAAACAGTGATGTGCCCCACAGAGAAAAATAACAGCGGGGACGGGGGAGAGAACGCTGGGGACAGAGGTCGCTATCACAGTAGGCTACTGCGGGGAGGTGACGTTTGAGCAGAGAGGCGCGTGGATGTCAGAAGAGTCGGGCGGAATAGCAAATGCTGCTTAGAGGTAATCATGTGAACACTGTGGCTCAAAAGAGGCTTTCGGTAACTAAGATGCTGTTCCTTACCAGTGTGGCTTTAGGTAATTCAGAGTAACTTTAGCCGAGGCCTACGCAGTGTAACTGCATGTTTCTGGCTCCAGAAGGAGACACTTGAGTTCGAGAATCGCTAGTATGTCCCAGATGCGAACCCGGAAAAGGGACTTTGCACTTTTAAGCTCGGTGTCACCTGTGAAGGGTGTCTTCGGCAGGGCCCCGTTTTTCAAACCAGAGTTCGCTGGCCGTCTGCACCAGCACCACCAGAGATGCTTGTTTGAAAAACGCAGGAACCAGGAATCTGCGTTTTCCAGCCCAAGGCCCACGCAGCTGCACAACGAGACCCCACGAGCGAGCAAGCTTCCACTCACGCGCCAGTGTTCCGGCCGGCGCCGTAACGTCATCAGGAGGCGCCGGAAGTGCCCCCGCGCTGCCTAGGAGACAGGACGCGCGGCCCGCAGCTGACGGGGCCGGGCCGGCCGCGCCCACTCGGTCGCCATGGAGCTGCCCCCGGGGCCGCGCGACGATCCCCGCGCCTGGGACGATGACTCGGACCCGGAGCCGGAGCCCGATCCCGACGCGCAGGCCGAGGCTTATGTGGCCCGCGTACTCAGCCCGCCGAAACTCGGGCTGGCGCCCCGGCGCGCCCCTCCGCTGCCCGCGCCCGCCACGTCCCCTGGCGCCCTGGAGCCGCGGGCTGCGTCCAAGGGCCCGACCGTGGGCGCCCCGGGCCTGCTGAGCCTGCCCCCGGAGCTGCTGCTCGAGATCTGCGCCTACCTGGACGCGCGCCTCGTGCTCCACGTCCTGCCGCGCGTGTGCCACGCGCTGCGCGACCTCGTGCGTGACCAGGTCACCTGGAGGCTACGCGCGCAGCGCCGCGTACGCGCGGCCTACCCAGTGGTGGAAGGTGCGCACGCCCGGGGAGGTCAGGCTTGGGGCGAGGGAGAGGGCACTTGGGGTGTTGTGAGCACAGCCCCTGGAGCAGGCTTCCTGGCTCGGGTGGAAGCTAAGGTGGTTACTGGTGATGTCAAAGCCCCTGACCTCTGGGTGGACCATGAGGCAGACACGGGGGTCCTGAGGCTGTGGAAATCTACCTGGGGAGCTAAGGTCCCTGAAGTGAGGAGCTAAGGAGCCCCATGGGTCCCATGGTACCATGGCCCTGACTCCTGGCTGGGGGTTGACACAGGGCCGTGAGGTTTCAGGTTATCAAAATCTGCTTGGGCTCGGGGTAAGCCCAAGAATCTTCAGGTTCTGAGTCTAGATGTTGAAGCAGCAGCTACTGATGCCAAAGCCCCTCAGCCCTAGAGTCTTGACCTAGGTGGGGATGAGGCAAGGACTCGAGCCAGAGCCTGCAACCCTTGAACCCAAGCTAGGATTTCGAGGTTGGGATCCCCTTATACCAGCAGTCACAGAACCTCAAGCCCAGTCTATCCTGGGATTCAGTGCAGGGGCTGGTGGTCATTTCCCCTGCCCCTGGGGCATTGGTCCCTGGGGGATGAGACAGCTCAGTGACCTTGAATTGATCAGACTCTCCCAAACAGCTTGATAAACGGATACTTGGGCCCCATCCAGTCCACTGAGTCTCTGCACCAGGGCTTGGCGTTTGCGTCTTGACAAGGCTCCCCATTTACAGATAGTAGTTTGAGAAATGCTTCCCTGGGCCTGGTTCAGACGGTTATGGCAGGAAGTCCTGGCTGTTGTGCCCAGCCTGAGAGTTGAGGGGCTGAAGTCGGACCTCAGTGAGGGGTGAGGCAAAACCTGAATGTCCTGAGGCTGCTATCCTCCAGGCCTGGGTTAGGGGGTGAGGCCTGGAAGGTGGTTCTCAGCCCGAGTTCCCTAATTTGTGGAAAGTGAGGTGAGGAGTTCTAGACCTGCCTGGAAGGTGAGTGGACTGGTGGTCCCAACGCCAGAGCCTGGGCCTCCTTGGGGTGGGGTGAGGGATCCAGGTGGGGTTCTCTCTCAGTCTGATGCTGGTTGGGCTTCCTGGAAGCCAGGGGTGGGCTTGGACAGCTAGTGTGGGCAGCAGGGTTCCTGCCCACTGGGGACCCTGCTCCTGGTGCCCACAGAGGAGGACTTTGACTGGCCGGCAGCCTGCATTGAGCTGGAGCAGCACCTGTCACGCTGGGCGGAGGACGGACGCTGGGCTGAGTACTTCTGCCTGGCCGATGGGCACTTTGCTTCCATTGACTCGGTGCTGCTGCTTCAGGTGAGGCAGGAGTCGGTGGGGGTCAGGTAGGGGTGGGCCAGGGTGACCCTGACCACATCACCTCACTCCCCTCTCAGGGTGGGACGCTCTGTCTGTCAGGCTCCCGAGATCGCAATGTCAACCTGTGGGACCTGCGGCAGCTGGGGGTGGAGCCCAGCCGGGTTCTGGTCAAGGCCCTGGGCACCCAGAGGAACAGCACCCACAAGGTGAGGGGGAGGAGGCGTGAGGCTTCCTCAACTGAACTCTGGCTCTGCTATTGTTAGTGTGACTCTGGGTGAGCTGTATGACTTCTCTGGGCCTCAGTGTCTACTTCTGTCCATGGGTCAGAAGTCAGTTAGGATGAGGATGAAGAAGATGAATATGCCTTATGAGCTTTGCTCAGGCTCGGGTACACAGTCCGTGCTCAATAGTTGTTAGCTATACCTTGAGAGGCCCAGGGCAGGGCAGTTATGAGGCTGCCCCTGGGGATCAGACAGCTCTGAGTGTGATGTCATCTCGTGAGAAGTGGCTGTGGAGGGGCACCTCCACCAGTCATCGAGGTGGTCTAGGCTGGGGGCCAAGAGCTGGGTCTTGGCACCGGGCCACTGGGTTCAAATCCCCACTCTGCTACTTCTTGGCTGTGTGACCTTGGGCAAGGGGCTCAATCTCTCTGTGCCCCAGTTTCCTCCTTTGTAGAACGGGACACGTTACAGTATCCTCCTCAGAGGGTCTGGTGAGGAGTAAGTCAGCCACCAGCCAGTGCTCTGTGCACGGTAGCTCCGGAGATAGGGACTGTGTCTGTGCCCATTTTCCCAGTGAAGAGACTGAAGGACGGTTCTCGGTGGGCCCGGCCACAGGGTGGAGGCCCCTTCCGCACCACCGTGCCCTGTGGCCTCGCAGCGCCGCTGCTGCTGAGTCTCCCTCCACAGCCTGACCTCGGGATGCTCCTGGGCGGGCTCCGCAGTCAGACAGACCCGCAGACCTCAGCTCCAGTCTCCGCTCGCACCGACCGCTCTGGGTTCTTGGGCCAGTTGTCTCCCTGCTCTGATCCGCAGTTTTGTCTGTGAGGTGGGGACAATCACACGGGTCCGCTCCTGCAGGGCTGGGTGTGGTCGCTGGCAGCGCTGGACCACCGCGTGTGCTCCGGTTCCTGGGACAGCACGGTGAAGCTCTGGGACATGGCAGCCGATGGGCAGCAGTTCGGCGAGATAAAGTGTGAGGGGTCCTGGGGAGGGGGCCTGGGGGTCAGGGCCCTGCCTGGCCCCACCTGCAGCCCCATGTCCATGTGTCTCCAGGGGCAAGGCAGCTGTGCTGTGCCTGTCCTACCGGCCTGACATCCTGGTGACTGGCACCTATGACAAGAAGGTGACAGTCTACGACCCCAGAGGTGGGCCGGGGGCCCTAACTGGGGAGAGCAGGGCTGCCTGGGGTGTCCAGGGTCTTGCTGGGGAAGGACACACTTGGGCATCACAGCCTGGCTGGCATGACATCACATAGGCAGATGCTCACCACTCTGAGTGGCCTGTGCTGTGCCGGGGGACACAAAGGCACCTGGTGGGGGAGGGGGTTCCAGAGGAAGCCCTGCCTCCACCTGGGGTGGGGCAAAGGACTGGAGGGCTCCCCAAGAGGGGCTTCTGAGCCTGAGTCCTGTGGGAGGCAGGACAGCTCCCAAGAATCCTGGCTCCCCAACTTCCTAGCTGTGTGACCCCAGTCAAGCTTGAACCTCAGTTTCTCCATGTGTAAAATCCGGATAATAACCACCCCAGCCCCAGAGGGTTAATGGGAGGAGCTGTTAATAAGAACATTGTGGATTAAAGAAGTCCCTTTACATAAAATGCCTAGAATGAGCACTGCCCGGCACAGGAGCCTGTTCCGTTATTTGTTTATTCGTTCTTATTTTAACTGAAGGGCCAGCGTGCCTTTTCCAGGCACAGCCGGAGCGGGGGTCGGGGCAGGCTGGGGTCGGCCTGCAGGAGGGGCGGCTCACGCTGGGACTTGCTGTCCGCTCTGTACTGAGAGCAGACGGGCCTGGAGGAGGGAGATGTGGGCAGGGGCCTGGGGGCCCTGGATCCAGCTGAGGCGGGAGAGGAGGGACAGGGTCACCTGCGGGAGGGGCGTGGGAGCAGACCGAGGGTTTTGGTGGGGAGGACGGAGGCCCAGGATCCTCAGGTGGCCCGGGGGCCTCCGAGGGGCTCTGATGTCCCTCTCCTCCCCGGCCTGTCACCCACGAAGTCGGCCCGGCCCTGCTGAAGAGCCGGCGGCTGCATTCGAGCGCAGTGCTGGCCGTGCTGGCCGACGACCGGCATATCATCTCTGGCAGCGAGGACCACACGCTTGTGGTGTTCGACCGCCGGGCCAACAGTGTCCTGCAGCGGCTGCAGGTGGGCCCTCCCCAGGGGCCTGGAGGGACCAGGGCTGGGCGCAGCCTGACCTGGCCTGAGCTGCTCTGTCCCTCCCACAGCTGGACTCCTACCTGCTCTGCATGTCCTACCAGGAGCCCCAGCTCTGGGCAGGCGACAACCAGGGCCTGCTGCATGTCTTCGCCAACCGCAACGGCTGCTTCCAGCTCGTCCGGGTCTGCCAAGGCCCTTGCCCCTGCCCAGCCCTCCCGGGCCTCCTCCACATGGCTTGACCCCTGGGGGGCGGTGGGGGACTGGCCCTGGGAGAGCCACGCCTGAGTGTAACCTGTCTTCCCTCCTGCAGTCCTTTGACGTGGGCCACAGGTCCCAGATCACAGGGATCAAGCACTCGCTGGGGTCCTTGTACACCACGTCCACCGACAAGACCATCCGGGTGAGGCCCAGACACTCTCCCTCCCTCTGCCATTGCCACCAGCCAGGCCCACAGCTCTTAACCTTTGCCTGTTGCCCCTCACCAGGTGCACGTGCCCACAGACCCACCCAGGACCATCTGCATCCGAAACCACCACAATGTGCTGAATGGGGTAAGACCCGGCCCCTTGCACCCTGCCCAGCTGCCGCGAGCACTGCTGACACCTCTTGTCCCTGCCCGCCCAGATCTGTGCCGAGGGCAACCTGGTGGTGGCCGCCTCCGGGGGCCTGTCGCTGGAGGTCTGGAGGCTGCAGGCCTGAGCAGGCTGACGTGGATGTGGATGTGCTGGCCGGCAGGCTGGGCCGCGGCCCCTCTTCTTGGGGACCTTCCCCCATGCTGGTGCTGTCTCTGCCCTGCCCTGCAGGCCGAGGGCACGAGGAGCCCCGGGCCATGGTTGGCAGGGTCCCTGGGCTGGGCCTCGGGTCGGGGGAGGTGAGGTTGGTGTTTCGGTCCCCCCAGGGGGCTGCTCCCCACCCTCGGGCCCCGTTATCGTTGTGATTTGGATGCTTGCTCTCCCTTGAGAGTGAAGGAGAAATAAACCTGACGTCCTGGTGCTCCAGCCTGGAGGCTGAGCCTGGCTCCCCCAGGGCTCTGTCTGTGTCTCCCGGGGCTGGGACCGGGTGTGCGTGTCTGCAAGAAGGTGCATGAAGCCTCAGCGATGGCCGCTGCCGAGTGTGCCCGGGTGCACACACACCTGCCCCAAGGCCTTTCCAGGATCGTGTGTGTTTGTGTGGCCCTGGGAGGGCGGGCCTGGCGTGTGTGATGTTCCGGTCACCCTGTCTGTCTACATCCACATGCGCTCTTGAGGAAGAGGGAGACTCTGGAGGGTGTGGGCGCCTGTCTGTGTGGTGGCCCCTCTGTGTGTGTGTGTGTGTGTGTGTGTGTGTGTGTGTGTGTATATGTGTGTGTCATGTGCTGGTGTGGAGATGGGGACTCTAACCCTGGATGTGCGTGTGAGGTGGGAGAGGGGTCTGCTCAGGCCACCCTGCAGGTGCTGTGCCAGGGAGGGGCCAGGAAGGCGCATGCTCTTCCATCCAGGGTGCTCGTGTGTGCACGTGCACGCCACAGTGGCTGGGACCCTGGAGTGGGCGGGGGAGGGAGGCTGGGCCAGCGTGACCCCTGCCAGCCCGAAGCCCCCTTTTGCCCCCATCTCAGCCCGCCAAGCCACGCCCTGAGGGTCATTCACTTCATGTTTATTGACGCCCCCTGGGTTGTTGGGCCACTGGGTCATAGGATGGCGCAGGGCTTCTTCTCCTTGAAGGGGTTGGTGGCAGCCGGGATGCCCACGAGGAAGGGGTCACTCTTGGCTTGCTCCATGCAGAACTGTAGCAGGTCGGTGGCTGCCTTGGACACCTGCAGGTCAGCCTGGTCAGCCAGACCCGAGCTGTCGCCTGCCCCTCTGCCCGACATGCCCCCCGTCTCCCGGCCCTCACCTTGACGCGGTCGATGCCGGCCTCCATCCGCAGCTGTTCCACAGCCTGGCGGGCCTGCCCAATGTCGCTGCCAATGGCCACCTTGCTGGACATCTAGGGGAGGGTGAGCAGGGCTGTAGGTGGCGGGCTCACCTCCAGACCCAGAGCCCTAGGGCCGCCTGAGAGTCCCCGCACCTCCTCCTGTGTCCCCTGGGGACGGGATGAGGGTGGCTGCTCCCCAACCCCAGTCAGGACCACGTACCTCAGCTGAGGACTCTGGCTGACTGCTGGGTGCTCAGTCCTCCTCCAGCGCCCTGCTCTAGCTCCCTCCCCTAGTGGCCTGGCCTCTCCAACCGCACCCCCCCCCCCCCCCTGCAGAGACTTTGAAGCCGGGACGCTCGTGGAGTGAAATGTCACCAGTGGCAGCAGCAGCAGCTGCCTCAGCCAAGGGGGTCTCCACCCCAGGAGGCCTGGCGGCTGTCCTGGTGTCACATGCCACCCTGGCCAGGGCAGTGCGGCGCCTGGCCTCTCACTGACCTGCTTGGTCCCCTGCTAACCAGCCCCACCATTCCTCCTTTGCCAGCCTCTGTCCCCCCCGCCCCAGCATGCAGAGTGTATCCCGCCTTGGGCGCAGCCCTGCCTCTCCCCTCGCCACCCTGGGATCTCATCTGCAGATGGCCCATCCACTCGCTTATGCTCATGGCCTCTGCCCCTCCCAGCCCCGTCCCTGACCTCAGACCCAGTCGAGAACCCTCCTCCCTCCTTGGTCCATCACACTCCTCTCTTGGGCCACTAAAGCTGGACTCCAGATGATGTTCTGCCCCAAATACGCCACCATCCACCCAACTGCCCTGGAGTGACTCTCTGCTCCCTCCTTCCTCTCTCCGCTATCCCCACATCTAATCTTTTCTCAAGAGCCATCAAGGGAAACCAGACTGTTGGTGGTGAACACGATGCAGTCTATACAGAAGCTGAAATGTAATAACATATACCTGAAATTTCCATAATGTTCTAAACCACTGTGACCTCAGTAAAAAAAAAAAAAAAGGGGCCGTCAGATCAACATTCAAATCAGGCTCTCAAGCTGACCACTTCTCCCCACCTGCTAGGGCCCCCCGGGCCGCGCCCACCTCCGCTTGCTGGACCAGTGCAGTCGCCTCCGCCCTGGCCTCCCCTGCCCTGCCCGCCCCTCCCCGTTCTCCTCCACGCAGCCAGCGGGGTCTGTTAGAAAATAAATCACATTACGACATGGATGCACCTTGCGGACACTGTGCAGTGAAATAAGCCAGACACAAAATGACAGATAATGTTCCAGTCCACTTATATGAGGGCCCTCGAGGAGTCAAGTTCACAGTGACAGTAGAATGGCAGGCGCCGGGGTAGGGGAATGAGACATTAACGTTGTTGGCGACACAGTTTCTGTCTGGGGTGATGAAGAAGTTCTGCAGATGGATGACGGTGACAGGTGCACAACATTGTGAACTTTTTTTTTTTTTTGAGGAAGATTAGGCCTGAGCTAACTGCTGCCAATCCTCCTCTTCTTGCTGAGGAAGCCTGGCCCTGAGCTAACATCCGTGCCCATCTTCCTCTACTTTAGAGGTGGGACGCCCACCACAGCAAGGCGTGCCAAGCGATGCCATGTCCACACCCAGGATCTGAACCGGCGAAACCCGGGCCGTCGAAGCGGAATGTGCGAACATAACTGCTGCGCCACTGGGCTGGGCTCATTGTGAATGTTCTTCATACCACTGAACTGCACACTTCAAAATGGTTCTGGTGGTGAATTTTATGTTATGTCCATTTTGCCACAATAAAAAAAATAGGAAGAAAAATAAAGGAGAGTCTCTCAGTCCCTTTTTAAAACTCTCCAGTGGTCTCCCAGCCACTTAGAATAAAGCCGACCTGGCCCGGTGGCACAGCGGTTAAGTTCCCACGTTCCGCTTCCTGGTGGCCCAGGGTTTGCAGGTTGAGATCCTGGGTGCGGGCATGGCACCGCTTGGCACACCATGCTGTGGCAGGCGTCCCACATATAAAGTAGAGGAAGATGGGCACGGATGTTAGCTCAGGGCCAGCCTTCCTCAGCAAAAAGAGGAGGATTGGCAGTAGTTAGCTCAGGGCTGATCTTCCTCAAAATAAAAAAAAAAAGAATAAAGCCCACCCTCCTTTCTACAGCTGCGGGGTCCTGCGTGGTCTGGCACCTTCTGCCTGCTCTCATTTCATTTCTTTTTCTTTTCTTTTCTTTTTTTTTTTTGAGGAAGATTAGCCCTGAGCTAACATCTGCTGCCAATCCTCCTCTTTTTGCTGAGGAAGACTGGTCCTGAGCTAGCATCCATGCCCATCTTCCTCTACTTTATACATGTGATGCCTGCCACAGCATGGCTTACCAAGCAGTGCATAGGTCCACACCCAGTATCTGAACCAGTGAACCCCAGGCTGCCGAAGCGGAACGTGCAAACTGAACCGCTGTGGCACTGGGCTGGCCCCTCTCAATTCATTTCTAATCAACCTGTCCCTCCTTCGTGCCTCCTGGATCACCCTGAGGCCCTAGTGTGCATTCATTCATTCATTCAGCATGTTTGCCAAGATTCCACACATGCAGGGCACTGCGGAGTGAAAGGAACAGCAGTGAAGCTGGACGTGGTCCTGCCCTTGTGGGGCAGCCGTCCGTCAGGGTGGACAGACAACAGCAACACAGCTCCAGAAGTGCCGTGAGACAAGAAAAGCAAGGTAAGGGCGAGCGTGAGTGCTCAGGGCAGGCCTCCTGGAGGCGGTGACATTTGGACTGAGGCGCAGAGGAGGAGGAGAAGGAGCTGGGGAGCGGGGAGCGGGTGTTCCAGGCACAGAGAGCAGCAGGTGCCTGGTCCCTTGGTCAGGAAGCAGCCTGGTGGGTTCTAGGACAGTGAGGGGGCCTGTGAGCGAGGGCAAATGGCAGGAGATGAGGGCAGGAAGGTCAGCGCCCTCGCAAGCCACAGTGAAGAGCCCGGATTCTACTCCCAGGGGGCAGCCTCCCTTAGAGGGTTTTGACAAGGAGCCATGCATCTGATTTCTGTTCCACGAGCTCTCTGGCCAGTGCGGAGGCCATGAGGATGAAGACAAGCACCTGGACACAAATACAGACTCAGTATGTTGTACGCTGGAAACTAATGTTATGTCAATTCTATCTCAATTTTAAAAAGAGATTTAAAAAACATTTAGATTCGGGACCTATTTTGTAGGTAGAACTTGGCGGACGTGCTGAGGGAGGGGTGTGGGGTGTAGAAGGGGAGACACCAAGCTCAAGCCCCAGTTTTTAGCCCAGTAGATGAGTGGAGGGAAGGGCGATCTGCTGAGACGTGAAGGCTCCGGGGAGAGCAGGGTTAGGTGGAGAGGGAACTGAGGTGGTGAGTTTCAAATCCAAGGGCCGACTGTCAAGGAGGATGTTCTGCTCCTCTAACTAAGTCGGCTCATTTCCAGCCTCAGGGCCTTTGCACTGGCTGCTGGCCCTATCTCTCCCAGTGGGAGATGGCGGGGGAATGGCCTCCCCCAGATCTTCACATATGGGGCCTTTCTTGGACTTCCAGCCTTGGCTCAAATGTCACCTCCTTGGTGTCCTTCCCCAACCACCTGTCCCTCCATTCACCCCCACCCTAAAGGCTCTTGCATCATCCTGTTTAAATCCTGACTATCACTTACCACGGTTGTTAACTTTCTACTTCCCCAAATGGGGGCTCCAGCAAGGCAGGGTCCGCAGCTTGTTCACCACTAAACCTGCAGCACCCAGCACAGAGCCCAACGTACAGGACGGACGCCATAAATGTAGACTGAGTGATTAAAGGGGTCCCCTGTGGAGCAGACCCCGGGCACCATGGGGAGGATCCATGGGATACAGACCTCACCCTCCAGGATCTCAGTCTTGCTGGAGGGAAAGAGATGTCAGCCCTGGATCCCAGAGGAGGTCCCTTACCCAGAGGAAGGTCAGGGAAGGCTTCCCAGAGGAGGTGACAGCTGCCGGAAGAAGGAAGACCAGAGGGCTCTGCAGCATGTGGAGGCTCTGGAGACGCGAGGCACGAACAGGGGTCACTATCTCATTTGACAAGAGGCGCTCAGAGGCAGCAGCTGTCTGACACTGCCTGACGACTCCAATCCTGTCCAAGGGCGATGTCTAAGAAGCCATCCTCTCTCCCGGAGGTGACAGAAACCAACGGGCAAGCGCCGCGCAACACGGTGGGTCTCCAGCAGGCGGCAGTAAGAGTAGGAATCGTCATGCATCTGAGGCTGAGGACACGCGAAACAGGGAACAACGGCTCCTCGCGGCCTCCGTAGTACGGACCGCGCGCGCAAAGATGGCCGCGCCCCGGGCCGCGGGTGTCAAGAGGGTCATGTGACTGGGCAACTTCCGATCTTTCCCCTCCGGTTTTCCCGAGCACGACTTCCTGCTCTCTCGTAGAGAAGGGCGTGCCGGGGCTTAGTGCCTTTCAAGGCCGCCGGAGGCCTGGCCTGGGGCGGCTCTGATCTGAGAGTGCGACCGCAGTAGCATGGAGGGTCCCCCGGAGGGGAAGGCGCCCGCGGCGGCGCTGGCCGCTGTGCTGAAGCACAGCTCGGCGTTGCCGTCCGAGAGCGCCCAGGTCCGGGGCTACGACTTCAACCGCGGCGTGGACTACCGCGCGCTGCTGCAGGCCTTCGGCACCACTGGCTTCCAGGCCACCAACTTCGGGCGCGCAGTGCAGCAAGTCAACGCCATGGTGAGACCCGGGGCGGGACTGCCTGGCTTGGGGGCGTGGCCTCCAGTAGCACCAATGCAGTGCTTGGAGGGGGCGGAGCTTCCCGAAAGGATGCGTGCCCGTCGTTGGGCGGTCCAATAGCTGGAGAGGGGCGGGGTCTATCCTGGGCGGGAGTTTCTGTGCTGGGAAGGGCAGTCCCCCCAAGTAGCGATATCCTAGTATGCGGGGGTGGGCTGGGGCTTGATTCTAGCATCGGGCAGATTTCAGGCAAAGTGTGAAAGGGTTCTGGAGTGGACGGAGCCTGGGGCAGGACTGTGCAGTTGAGGGAGGAGTTGGGGGAGGAGCCTGACTTGGGCAAAGCCTGAGCTTGTGCCCTGAGATTCGGGCTGTGATCGAGGCGGAACCTGCACAGGGGTGTTCGTTCCCTGGTTCCGGGCAGAAGTGGTCCCGTATCCCCGAGTGGGCAGCGCTTGGGAGCAGAATCTGATTCTGAAACTCGCCTGGGGATTTTGGCGTTCACTCGACCTGCTCTTACACCTAGATAGAGAAGAAGCTGGAGCCGCTGTCACAGGATGAGGACCAGCATGCAGACCTGACCCAGAGCCGCCGCCCACTCACCGGCTGCACCATTTTCCTGGGCTACACGTCTAACCTCATCAGTTCTGGCATCCGTGAGACCATCCGTTACCTCGTGCAGCACAACATGGTAGGGACCGGTGGGGCTCTGGCCTTGGCCTCTTCTGGGTCTTAATGGGCAATAAGATTGGTCATTTAAGTGAAATAGAGAGATATGGGTCAGTTTTAAGCAGAGGGACAGGATGGAGTTTTGCTTTGCAGCAGACCGCCCCCCAAAGGTCACTGGAGGGTTGGGAGTTAGGAGTCCTGCCCCAGATGAGGGCAGGGCTCCCCCACCTGGGCCAACCTCGCTGCCTTGTGGCCGCAGGTGGACGTCTTAGTGACCACGGCCGGGGGCATCGAGGAGGATCTCATCAAGTGTCTGGCGCCCACGTACCTGGGCGAGTTCAGCCTCAGGGGGAAGGAGCTACGTGAGAACGGGATCAACAGGTAGGGGGCCCTGAGTGGTGCTGGGCAGGGGAGCTGGGCAGAGGGTCCCGGGACCTGATGCCCACATGCTCCTGTCCCCAGGATCGGAAACCTGCTGGTGCCCAATGACAATTACTGCAAGTTTGAGGACTGGCTGATGCCCATTCTGGACCAGATGGTGCTGGAGCAGAACACAGAGGTGGGGCGGGAGCAACCTGGGGGGCCGGTGTGGTGGGAGTCAGGGGAGGCACAGCTGGCTGAAGCTGATGTCCCCTTCTAGGGCGTGAAGTGGACGCCTTCCAAGATGATTGCCCGGCTCGGCAAGGAGATCAACAACCCAGAATCAGTGTATTACTGGGCCCAAAAGGTGAGGGGCTGGGTGGGGGTAAAGATGCCAGGCCTTGGCACGTGTTGTTTCGTCTTCACAGCCACATGGGGAGTCAGTACTAGTCTCATCATCCTCACTCTTAGATGAGGAACCTCAGACACAGAGAGGTTAGGCACTTTGTCTGGGTCACACAGCTCTTGAGTGTGGTCCTGGTATCCTGGCTCTACTCCTAGACCACCTGGGAGCAGCTGGGGTGGGGACCAGGCTGCCACCACAAGGCTCTGAACTCCAGTCCCTGTCTTGTCCTCCCTCCGCCAGAACCACATCCCCGTGTTGAGCCCGGCGCTCACAGATGGCTCGCTGGGCGACATGATCTTCTTCCATTCCTACAAGAACCCGGGCTTGGTCCTGGACATCGTTGAGGGTGAGGCGCTGGGGCCACAGAGGAGCAGGGGAGGAGGGCTGGCTGGGCCCAGAGACTGACCACAGCCTTCTTCCCCCAGACCTGCGGCTCATCAACACACAGGCCATCTTTGCCAAGCGCTCTGGCATGATCATCCTGGGTGGGGGCGTGGTCAAGCACCACATCGCCAACGCCAACCTCATGGTGAGCGGGGACACAGCGTGCGCCTGGTCCCCAGTGGGTGCAGCGCTTGGGCCGGCCTGCAGACGTGCCTGTGTGTTAGGTCCATGCCAGGTCTCCACGGGGAGACAGCCATGGGCCAGACCGGCCAGGATCCCTGCCCTCCTGGGACTGAGGTTCCACTCGGGGAGACAGACAGTAAACAAGTGACATGCATGTCAGGTGGCGGGAACTGCTATGGAAAAAATGAGGGACGATGAGCTGGCAAGAGAAAGGGGTGCTTTTGAAAAAAGGGAGGCCTTTCTGGGAAATGTGACCTAGGAGTGGAGGTTTTTGACAGGTGCCTCTCACAAGCCCTGTGGTTATCTCGGGGACAAGTTCCCAGCAGAGGGAACAGCCAGTGCAAAAGCTTTGAGGTGCCCAAAGTCAGTCAAGGAACAACAGCCAAGGGACCAGTGGAGAGTGGGAGGAGGTCAGGCAGGAGGTGACAGGCAGGAGGTGACAGGCAGAATGTGGGGCCTTGAGGGCTACTCAGTTGCTCACAGGCCCTCCCTGGTGGCTGTGGGGGGAATAAATGGTGAGCCCATGGTGGGGAGAGGAGGCTAAGTTTGGAGGTCTGAAGATAGAGTTGGTGGCAGCTCCTGCTGAGCAGATGGGGGATGCTTGTTGCTATGCAGGAGGTGGGTCTGGGGCAGCACTGGCCACTGTCTGCCCAGCAACTGCCCAGTGTTGACATGGGGCCTCTCCCTTGGAGCGAGGGGCTGCCAAGGGCTTCCTGCATCCAGGACACAGCCCGCAGCATCCGGCTACATGGCCTGTTTGTGTCTGTCTGGGGCCCCGGCCCTCCCCACAGCGGAATGGGGCCGACTACGCTGTCTACATCAACACGGCCCAGGAGTTTGATGGCTCTGACTCAGGTGCCCGGCCGGACGAAGCGGTCTCCTGGGGCAAGATCCGGGTGGACGCACAGCCCGTCAAGGTGAGAGCCACGGGGGCTGGGGCGCAGGGCCTCCCGGCCTGTAGTCCGGTGTCCCACGGCTCACCCCTGTCCCCTCTGCAGGTCTATGCCGATGCCTCCCTGGTCTTTCCCCTGCTCGTGGCTGAGACCTTTGCCCAGAAGGCAGATGCCTTCATGCCTGAGAAGAACGAGGACTGAATGGTTGCTGTGCCAGGGAGGCCCCCCCAGTCTATTTATTAGTTTGCAGCCCCAGCCCCTCCCCCACTCCTTGGTCTGAAGTGTCTAGAATAAATGGGCTCAGCGGTTCTCCTGAGTCTGTGTCTATCTCCGCGGTCAGGGCGGGTCCCTGGCTTCAGCCTGGGCCATCCTCGGCCTCATAGGCCTCTTCCCGCCAGCACTGGACGCTGCCCCCCATGGCGGTCAGCAGGCAGGGCTCCGTGGGGTGGTAGGCCAGTGACTGGACCACGCCTGGGCCCACAGGCAGGGCCAGCGCCAGGGCACCCTGTGGGGCAACAGAGTGGGGAGCAGTTATCAATGCGTCCCCTCTCCCTGACCTTCAGCCACCTCCCAGACACTGCGAACCTCATCTGCCTCCCTGTACCCCTCAGTCGCTCCATCCGTCCAGGGGCTCAGGCCAGCATCTCAGGAGTCCCTCTCTCTCACCTCACATCCCTTTATCAGCAGGTCCTCTCCATTCTGCCTTTCGACTGGGTCCAGAGACCCCGGTTCTCTGCCCCTCAGGCTGCCCCCCTGCTCCAATCCGTCACGTCTTGCTCCCAGCTTCCCTCTCCCTTGGCGCATGGTACCTCCACCGGCCCACTCAACGCTCTCACTTCCCTCATCACCTCGCAGTCACAACTCAACACATACGGTTCCTCAAGCAGCCGCGGTTCCTCTTTCCACCTCGAAACGTCCCTTCACGTGCCCTCCCTTCCAGGGTGACTTCCCATCTCCTGGACCCTCCAGAAGGAGGAGAACATGCACCCCTTCTTTGTTCCCAGAGCGAGCGAGAGCCGGCCCCTCGAGTCTCCAGGGCCCCCCAGTTCCCTCCATCTTCTTAAGGGGCCTACTTCCCCTGGCCCAGCCCCAGCGCCCAGGTCTCCTGCCCTGAGGCTCCCCCGCCCTGCCTCCACTAGGCCTGGCCAGTATGTTTCCAGCCTGACGCCGCCCAGGCTGGGACACATCAGGACAGGACTGGGGGCTGGAAAAGCATGGGGATGGTCTGAGGTAAGTGAGGTTTCCTGCGGGTGAGACCTGGGGTCAGAGGCTGGGCGCCCCCCCCCCTCCCCGCCAGGGTCAGTCCCAAGGGCTCAGCCTGGCCTTCATGGCCCTGCCTGCTCTGGATCCTGCTGCCACTGCTGCCATCCCAAAGCGCATCTATTTCCTCACCAACGCGTGCCTGCCACAGCTCCGAGCCTCCACGTACGCTGTTCCTTTGCCAGGAAAGCCCTTCCTGCCTCGTCCTCTCATCCACCCCTCCTTTAAGCCCCTGGCTCTAACAGCACTCCCTTCTTCGGCCTGCGAGTGACGGAGGTAAGGACAGGGCGGGGACACGGCAGGCGCTCAGTGCAGAGTAGGGGTGGGGAAGCTCACCTCCACCAGGTCCCAGAAGAACACCTTCCCGTCCTCTGAGCAGCTGACCACATGCGTGTCGCGCTCACTCAGGCAGCAGTCCAGCTTGTATTCCCGGTTCTTATGGCCCGTGTACCTGGGGGGGAGTGAGTGGGACCAGGGGGTCTTGGGTCTCACCAGGAGTTGGGGCGCGGGGAGGGACCCCATGACCCCGAGGACTCACTCGCCCAGCAGCTCCCCCGTGTCTTTGTCTAGAAGCCGCAATGTGGAGTCCAGGCTGGACACCAGGGTGCACTGGCCGTCCCGGCTGAAGCAGGTGCAGGTGATGGGGCCTGGGGGGAGGGGAGGGGTGGGCAGACGGGTGAGGCTGGGGCCCCCTTTCCTGTCCCCACCTTCCCTGCCTGCCCCACAGCCCCGGCCACACTCACTGCCCACGTAGTCTGAGAAGAGCTGCCCCTTCCTCAGGTCATAGCGCCTCACCCGGCCATCCACTGAGCTGCAGGAGAGGGTGGATGCGGCTGGAGTGGGGACTGGGGCCAGTAGGTCCATGGCTCCAGGTACCCTCTGACCCTGCCAGGGCCCCGAGGGCACAGCTGGGCCTGCCCTTCCTGTGCCCCCTTACTGTCATGCTCCGGCTCAGGGCCGGCCAGGGAAAATGCACGGAAGTGAATTCACGAGGGGAGTTCCAAGCCACTGGGTTCGAGACTCAGACCCAGGGCGGATCCCACTCCATCGGCTTCTGACATGTACTGAACACCCTCTCCAGGCCGGACCCTGTGCGGGCGCTGGGAACACAGCCTCAACCCAGCCAGGAGCACGTTCTGCCAACATGGAGCCTCAATGACTGAGGGCAATCTAGGAAGGCCTCCCCGAGGAGGTGACATCTGCACTGGGACTTGAAGGAGGCGAAGGAGCCAACCATGTGCTGCCCCAGGGGAGATGTGTGGGAACAGGGCCAGCCACCAGGCTGAGCAGCCCGAACTCCCTCCGTGGTGGGAATGGCAGTCCCTCCAGTTGTGGCAACACTCAGGCGGCCCTGCATGGCAATTTTTGTTTGTTTGTGTCCTGCAGCTGGAATACCAACCCTGTGTGGGCAGAGAATTTTCCTTATTTCTCTGTCTTGTTCACTGCTGTATGCTCGTTGGCTAAAAAGTGGCTTGTGGGAGATGCTGGGATAGCCTGAGTGAGTAGCAGAAGGGCAGTCCCGGCAGAGGGAGCATATTTAACAGAAGCGACACCCAGAATAGATCAAAGCTGAGAGGTCAGCAAGGACCGACCATGTGGGGCCTTGGGAGCGGCGGTGAGGAAAGATTTTAATCTAAGCACAGAGGCAGCCATGGTCCCCAGTGGCGCCTGGGGAGGGCGGGTCCTGGCTCCACTCACCCCGCCAGGACCTCGTGGTCCGACACCTTCACGCTGGAGACGCCGTCCCTGGCTTCGTCCAGCGTCTGCACTGGCTCAGGCCTCCGAGAGCGGCAGTCCCAGCAGCGGATGCTGGAATCGATAGAGCCTGGGGGGGCCGGCAGGAAGGGGAGGTCGGATTTGGGGGGCAGGGGCGGCACCTCGGGACCCCCTGCCTTGGCCTCAGACTCACCGGACAGGATCACCGTGGCCTCTTCATTAAACTGCACCGTGTTCACCTTCTGAGAAACAGGAACTGCCACTCAGAGGAGGCTGGTCTTTGGAGGATGGGGACAAGGGCAGGGGTCCCAGTGCCGGTTAAGGCAAGGGCAGAGGCTAGGGGTTCGGAATGCAAGGTTTGGGGGCGAACTGCAAGGACGGGGCTTCGTGAATGCCGGGCCATGGGGGAAAGATCCGTGCACTGTAAAGGGGGGGTCCCTGTCACCTCCCACACATAAAGCCGAGCCCTTCCGCCACCCACGCTCTCTTGCACTCACCCCCGCGTGGCCCCGGAACTTGCGCACGACCTGCCCCGACGCCACATCCCACAGCACCACCGCCTTGTCCCCGCCGCCGGAGCAGAGACTGCTGTTGTCAAAGGAGCTGGAGGGCGGCGGCAGGAGGGTCAGCGCCGCCCGCCGCCCCGGCCCGGCGCCCGCCGCAGCCCGGCCTCCGCTCACCCGGCCGCGTCCAGCACCTCGTAGCCGTGGCCGCTGTAGGTCCGCAGCAGCGTGCCCCGCAGCGGGTTCCACAGCTTCAGCGTCTTGTCGCTGCCGCACGTCAGGCAGTAGTTGCCATCCACTGGGGAACACCGGCCGGGGTTAGCGCGCCGCCGACCCCAGGGTGCGGGCGGCCCCGGAACGCGGAGGAGGGCGCTCACCATTGAACCGCACGGCTCGCACCGCCCCCTGCCCGCAGTCCAGCGTCTTCAGCCGCTTCTGCGGCAGCTCCGGGCCCCGCGGCTTCGGCTCAGGGAAAGCCATTGCTCCAGGACCCCGTCCTCGCCGCCTTCAATCCGTCTGTCTGGAGGTTGCCGAGCCCTCGGAACCCACGCTTGGGTGTAACCTTATTATTGTACTCCGCGGTCTACTTCCGGCTTCCCACTTCCGGGTTCAAATTTTCCGCTTTTTCGAGTGTTGGGAGTATTGAAACCTGCTTCCAGCTTCTTTTCTCCACTTCCTGTTTTTAGGGAACATTTTTGCCTCTTTTAATTTTCTGTTTTTTGGTTCCGGGGAGTCCTGGCCCCCGCCGCTAGGAACGGAAGTGCGAGGGCTGCGGGTGTTACTCTAAAAGCCACCCTCCGGCTCCACGCCGGAAGTTGCCCTCTCGCAACGGAAGAGGCGCGACCTCGGACTCGCTATGTCCACGAACAGTATGTCGGACCCACGGAGACCGAACAAAGTGCTGAGGTGAGGACCTCGGCGTCATGGGAACGGGCCTCGGGTTGTGGGTCGGGGCCCAGGGACGCGCCTGTCAACCCCAGGGGCGGGACTTGCACCCCTTGACCCTTGCGCTCGCTGCAGGTACAAGCCGCCGCCGAGCGAGTGTAACCCGGCCTTGGACGACCCGACGCCCGACTACATGAACCTGCTGGGCATGATCTTCAGCATGTGCGGCCTCATGCTCAAGGTGGGCGGGCTTGAGTGTCCCCCGGCGTAGCGCGGTCTGACCGCCGGGCCGAGGGACGGGCTCGGAAGGGGGCGGGGCCGGCGCCGAGGGGGCGGGGCCGAGTGATGCGGGATGGAGAAGGACCGAGCCTGGGGGCAGCCAGGGGTCCGGGTCAGGGTGGGTACGAGGGAGGTCGGCCTAAGGGTGGGGCCAGGCTTTAAAGCTGCTTGGAAGGGACTTGTGGAGAAAGGGTGGGGACCTTAGCATGTTGGGGTATGTAAGAGGCCACTCGTCTTAGACGAGGGGACGTGGGGTAGTCAGAGACACAGGCCGGGGAGTAGATCCAGAAACTGGGTACCTGGAGTAAGCTCTGGGGGGATGGGATTGAGAGCCTCCGGGGAGGGGGGGCCGGGTCCGAGCTGCACCCGGTGGAATCAGTGGAATGCCGCCTGGGGAGGCTCATTGGCCTGCCCTCACTGAGCTAACTCACCCATCCGCCTGCCTTTCCCCAGCTGAAGTGGTGCGCTTGGGTCGCCGTCTACTGCTCCTTCATCAGCTTTGCCAACTCGCGGAGCTCTGAGGACACTAAGCAGATGATGAGTAGCTTCATGTGAGGCTGGGCCTAGAGGAGGAGGGGCTCCTGAGTGAGGGGAGGGGGACCCAAGCCTGCCCATCCTGGACTGACACCTCTCTCTCGTCTCAGGCTGTCCATCTCTGCCGTGGTGATGTCGTATCTGCAGAACCCTCAGCCCATGACGCCCCCCTGGTGATGTCAGCCTTGAGGGGTTACATCCTGGACCCCTCCATCCAACTTCCCCCAGGCCTGGCCCTTGGCTGCTCAGCCTCCTGCCCTCGGCTGCTGTCCTGGGCTTCCCTGGGGAAGGCAGCCTCAGGCCCGCAGCTGGCTGGAGGGAGCCTGGCCCTTTCCCTGGGACCCCACTTCCACTGGGGCAGAGAGGGGATACCCTAGGCCCACCCCTCCTGCCTTCCTCTCCCACCCTGCCTGCTGCTGGAGGCGATGCTGTCCATGTTTCTAGACGTATCCACTCATTTTCTTGTTGAAACCAGTTAATAATAAAGTTTTGCATTTTGGCTGTTCTCTGTGACCTCTTTCCTTCTGTGTGTTGCGGGTGGTCCTCCTAGGGGGGCAGGGCTCCAGTTCCTCCACTCGGTCAGGCCTGGGGTGGGGCCCCAGGCTGGAGCTTTCTCGTGGTTAACTTGCTTATTTCACAAGCCTCGTGCTTAAGTCAGCTGCCAGGTACAGGACAGTGACCCCCGCCCTCTGGCAACTCAGCGCGTGGCCCTGCTGACCTGAGGAATCTGGGCTTTGGTTTTCTTTTCAGAGAAATGGGGTCATGTTAGCGAACTGGATGGACTGGTAGAGACTGGGAAAGGCACGAAAGATGGAATCTTCCCCCACCTGTCAGGCTCCCTCCTCCCCGAAGGACCCTGGTGTCTCCTCCAGGTGTCTCCTCCAGCCGGGCTGGGTGCCTGCCATCCCCAGCACTCCAAGGGCAGTTCCTTTACCCAACGTCTCAATCTGCACAGGACAGAACAGGCTTGCCATCGAGCCCCGCTCCTAGCCACGCTAGGTCCCTCCGGGCCCCCAGCCCTGCGGGTCAACGGGATACCCTAGGACACACTCCACCTCCTAGGCAAACTGAGTACCCGCAGGGAAGTTTGAGATCTCTTCGCCCACGGGGACCAAAGGTCACTCCGAGGCCACACGAAGGCGGCAAGACGCTAAAGACTCGTCCGGCCAAACCAGCCCCCCGAGGGTGGGACGCGCCCGGCAGCTCCCCGCGCTCCCAGCGCCGGGGGGCAGCCGGAGCTGCGGCCTGGGTCGCGTGACGCGCCGGGCCCCGCCCAGGCCCCGCCCCCGCCGGCGCCCATTGGCCAGGCCGGGTTCTGGGGGCGGGGCGCTGGCCCACCCTAGCGGAGCCGGGAGCCCGCCCGAGGCGGCGGAGGCGGCGGCGGCGGCGGAGCCATGGGCGCTGGGGCGAGGCCTTCGGGGGTCCGCGCCGGCGGCGGGCGGGGCGCGGCGGGGCCCTGGATGAGCTCCCGCGCGCTGCGGCCACCGCTCCTGCCTCTCTCCCTCCTTGTTCTGTCGTTGCAGGCGGCTCCCGGCGCTCGGGCCGCGGGATACGAGGTGAGCGGGGCCCGCGAGCGGAAATGTCCACGAGCCGGCGCGCAGCCCCCGGGGGGTCCCGCGGTGCGGGTGGGCCTGTTCCCTGGGCGCCTGGTGAATGGTGGCTGCCGTGACTGAGCGGTCTGAGCGCGCGCAGGTCTGCTTGCGCGCGTCGGAGAATGGGGCTGTCTCTACCCGCCTCCCTGTGGGTCGCCGTGCCTGGACTCCATGCACTTAACCGTGTGATTGGGCGCCCGGATTTGTGTGTGAGCAGCTGTGTGTGTGTGTGTCGGGGTCGGGGGGACACTGGTTGAGAGCTGGGACCCTGGAGTCAGCCTGCCTGGAGTTCCAGCCTGGCTCCTCCACTTCCTGGCTGTGCGACCGTGGGCAAGTCACTTCACCTCTCTGATCCTCAGTGCTCTCATCTGAAAACTGGACATAATACTGCTCCCACCCCAGGGTGGCTGCTTGTGTCTGCAGATGCTTAATAAATATTAGCTACTACTATTATTATTTCCCCGGGGGAGTGAATGAGAGCTGTTCTGAGGGGTTGTGCCAAGTGGCAGTTGTATCTGTGAGCACAACTATGTGTCTCCTCCCTGGGAGGGCCTGGTCCCACCTCTCTGAGTCACTTCCCTCTAGATGAAGACTTATCTTGTGCCCCCTCACCTCCCACCCCAGCCTGCCTCTTATCCTAGGGGTTACTGACAGGGTGGGTGAGTGTGTGTTTGGGGTCTCTGTACAGACATGCCCCAAGGTGCAGCCGGATATGCTCAACGTGCACCTTCTGGCCCACACACATGATGACGTGGGCTGGCTCAAGACGGTGGACCAGTACTTCTACGGCAGTGAGTAGAGGGTGGGGACTGACCCCTGGGACTCCCAGGGCCCGTCTGAGCCCTTCAGATCCTTCCTGGGCCCTGGACATCAGGGTGGGGGCAATGCCAAGCTTGGGCTCGTGTGTCTGGGAGTGTCCCCCTTGGCTCGCTGGTCCCAGACTGCCTGACCCCTGTGCCCACAGTCCAGAATGACATCCAGCACGCAGGCGTGCAGTACATCCTAGACTCGGTCATCTCTTCCCTGCTGGAGGAGCCCACCCGCCGCTTCATCTACGTGGAGATCGCCTTCTTCTCCCGCTGGTGGCATCAGCAGACAAACAGAACCCAGGAAATAGTGCGCGACTTGGTGCGCCAGGGTGAGCCTAACCCCGAGGAAGTGAAAACAGGAAGCCCAGCCCAACTTCTGTTTCTGCCACTCTCCCCTCTTAGATGTTATCATGCCATGTGCAGCCTGTTACGTGTCCGTGGCTCCGCCTGCCTGGAATTTCCTTTTATTTGGAGAACTCTTATGCATCCTGCAAGGCCTCCATCTCCAGTGGCTCCTCTGGGAAGCCTGCCGTTCAGGGAGCCCTCTGTCCCATGTCTGGCTGCAGGTCTTCTCATCCCCTGCATCACCAACCCAGACCCCATTCCTGGCCTTGACAACTCACCCAGCCTTTGCCCCTCCCCACGCAGGGCGTCTGGAGTTTGCCAACGGTGGCTGGGTGATGAACGATGAGGCAGCCACCCACTACGGAGCCATCATAGACCAGATGACCCTTGGGCTGCGCTTCCTGGAGGACACGTTTGGCAGCGACGGGCGCCCCCGTGTCGCCTGGCACATTGACCCCTTTGGGCATTCCCGGGAGCAGGCCTCGCTGTTCGCTCAGGTGCTCTCCTGACCCTCTTGGACCCGCCCCTTTACCCGCTCTGACTCCTCCCTGGGCCACTCAAGCCCCGCCCCATGCAAGCTCCCGGGGACGAGGCCCTGTCCCCTCTGGGGAGCTGCGGATCCCATTCCTCTTCCGCTCTGGCCTTGGCCCCCCCCTGCCTCTGCCCCGGCTGGTGCGCTCCGGCTGGCTCCGCCCCCTCCCCTGGCCCCGCCCCTTTCGCTAGGGTTCGGGCTGCTCCCGAGGCGGGGGGGGGGGGGGGGGGGGGGGGGGGGGGGCAGGGGGCCTGCCCTGCTTTTCACCCGGCTTCCCGGCCTGCGCCGTGACCGCGCCCCCTTTCCACGCTCCGACCCCTTCTACCTGCGGGCTGCGGAAGGGGGAAGCTCTCCTTGAGACGGGCCCCTGTCCGAGCTGGGGGAGGTGGAGGGGAGGCCTTGCGTGGGACCCTCCCATGCCGGCTCTCCGAGGGGGCCATCTGACCCTTCCCCAAGCTCCGCAATGAGCTGGAGGCCCCCTGGTTTGAGACCTGCTTTCCCCCCGTGCTCTGAGGGGCTCCCCTTGGTGTTGAGAGCCGGGCACTGATTTGTCCTGTCCTCCGACCCCTCCTCATCCTGGTCCCCAGATGGGTTTCGACGGCTTCTTCTTCGGGCGCCTGGATTATCAAGACAAGAAGGTGCGGATGGAGAAGCTGGAGATGGAGCAGGTGTGGCGGGCCAGCGCCAGCCTGAAGCCCCCCGCCGCCGACCTCTTCACCAGTAAGGGGATGGAGTGGGGGCAGGGCTGGCCCGAAGGGGCATGTGACTTGCGCAGTGACATGTGCAGTCACACGGGGCCCCATGCTCAGAAGCGTCCTGGGCTTGGTTTCATACTCTGCTGTCATCGCCTTGAAACTCAATAACTTAGGAACAAGTGCCCAGCATTTGCACTTTGCAAGGGGCCCCCCCAAATTCTGAAGTCCCTCTGGGGTGGGGCCTGGCAGGTTTTGACCCCAGGGCGGGCCTGGGGCGCCGGGCCGCCCCCTGAGCCTGGTACGGCCCGCAGGCGTCCTCCCTAACATGTACAACCCGCCGGAGTATCTGTGCTGGGACACGCTGTGCGCCGACAAGCCAGTCGTGGACGACCCGCGCAGCCCCGAGTACAACGCTCAGAAGCTGGTTGATTACTTCCTGCAGGTGGCCACTGCCCAGGTAACCCCGGGGTCCGGAACGTGCCCTTCCTATGGCCAGCATTCCCTGTCACCACCTCATAACCCTGGGGCAGGGTAATACTCCATTCCCCATCACCTGCCCTCCTCCTGGATTCGTGTGCATTCCTGACTGGGAGCACGCGCGGCCCAGGAGAATTACTCAACAACTTGCGGCTATTTTTATGTGTGTCCTTATGCTCCCACGGGACACACTTCCGCCCCCCCACCTCTGTGTGCACACTCTTCACCACATATTTACCAAGACTCAGCCGTACACGGGGGTGGCCCAGGACACCCTGGCCTGAAGACCCGACTCCTGCTTGCAGGGCGGGCACTACCGCGCCAACCACACCGTGATGACCATGGGCTCGGACTTCCAGTACGAGAATGCAAACATGTGGTTCAAGAACCTTGACAAGCTCATCAAGCTAGTCAACGCCCAGGTGAGCATGCCCGCCCCGGGTGCACGTGTGTGGTTGGATGGCTGGGCCTGGGTCACGGGCATAGCTGTGGGTGCTGGCTTAGTTTTCTCTGGCTACTGTAACAAATTACCACAAACTTAGTGGCTTAAAACAACAGAAATATATTGTCTGACAGTTCTGGAGGTGAGAAGTCCGACACGGGTCTCATGGCTAAAATCAGGATGTTGGCAGGGCTGTGTTCCTTCTGGAAGCTCCAGGGGAAAGTTGCCTTGCCTTGTCAGCTTCTAGAGGCCGCCCGCATTCCATGGCTCCTGGCCCCCTTCCTCCATCTTCAAAGCCAGCAACATAGCAGCTCTCTGACCCTGCTTCCATGGCCTGATGAGCGGTGCTAGGTCTGCGCCCAGGATCCGAACCGGTGAAACCCTGGGCCACCAAAGTGGAGTGCGCAAACCACTCGGCCACAGGGCCGGCCCCTTGAGAAATGTTCTTAAGCACTCAATGCTTTAGTTTTTTTATCTAGAAAATGGGCACAAAGGTGGTTCTCACCCGATAGGGCTGTTAATGAGTTTAACGAGTTTCTCTGCATAGACCCAGTAGGACGGTGCCAGGCAAATAATAAGTATTATGGTATCTGGGGCTGCAAACCTGCTGCTTC